AATATTTATAATGCATCTTACTTTAACTCCAAGTAACCACCACCAGCAGAACGACCACACTGCATGCAAGAACATGAACCACATGTGTACTCCCCACAGCTCGTCTTGTTACCTGTAAAAACAAACAAAAACAAGATTTTTAGTTGCTCCAGTTCCCTGAAAGTGGTAACAGACCCTCATAAATACTGACACGGGCAGGTGTAGCATTTAAATGTCAGAGCAACAATGTACAAATCATCCACGGTGCACACAGGAGCTATGGCTGAGTCCAATTTAACATTTGACATTTCAGGTGATTGACGATAGGGATGGACAGGTTCAGGTGAAGCAGCAGTCTGGCACTTAGTCTGTAATGAGGAACATGGTAAACCGTGTCAATAAACGAGCAAAAAATGCCTCAGGGATAATCCTCGACATTATCATACCAGTTTAAGCTTCTGCTGGGCTCAATCTGAGGCTGTAATTAAAGGAGACACTGGAGGTCAGCAGGCTGCGACAGAGGCTCAAACAGGAGGGAGATTAGATTTCTGATTATACCAAACACTCTTTTCACACATCTACCTGTATTTCTAGGTGGAAAAAAAAAAAACAGAAACGCAGCTGATACCTCTCACCTGTTTTTTTTGAAGGCAGAAAACTCTCCCTGACCCTGCCTGCAGAGGGCAGTGCTCTCTGCTCACAGATAACTTACCACAGCACTACAGCACATTGAAAACATGTTGTATGATACACCGTGGCATCTTCGACCTTGAAACAGTTTTATGTGGTAGTGTGACACCTTCACTTAGCAACCGTTGACTTTTTTCGTTTTACAACCTCTATCGAAATCGAGTTTAATCCTATTTCTTGACATTTCAACCTTATTTTAGAAGTGCGGAGTAAAAAAAAACCTTCTTCTTCTGTTATTTTCTCTCTCATCCCTGGCCTTAAAACTCTGGCGTCGACTACGGCTGAATCAGAATCAGTGGGTTGCTAAATAGGTTTTTACACTCAGTGAACTTGTGGTGTTTTGGGTGAATAGAAAAAGGCAGCACAGTAAAAAAAGATAGGAAATACACACATGCACTACATCTATGTATTCTTGTTATATCAGACGCCCTATTATTGCTTCAGCCTTGGCTTTATTGTGGTCGTCTGTGTTGATGTAATGTCGGCTTTTGAATTGTCTGCTCACACAGCTCTGGTACTATTTAACCAACTCAGGGGTCAGGGTTTGCAAAGTTTGGGAATTCTTTAATGAAGAAATCTGGAGTTTGATTGAATAAGTGCTGAGTGAAAGCAGAGACAGGTACAAGCATACACAATAAGGTTGCTTGTTACAAAATACAGACATAAAAAAAAAAAACGTTATGTAATAAATAACTTTGAAATTCAAAAGCCTCAATACAGCTCTGACCTTAATCTCTTACTTTGAAAAGATGAACTCTTATTTTTCAAAATCTTGGTTGAAACTATTAAAAGGAAAGGTATTATAGTTTGGAGTAGTTCAGTGAACTCAGGGTGGAGGGGTTGTCTGTTGATTAAAGTCTGGTATAAAAACAGAAAAGCAAAAAAAGTAAGTTCAGTTTACTTTCACAGCACCAGACATCACAAATAATAAAGATTAAAATGCCAGTATAATAAAATATTTAATGTGTTCAGTGGCGTATTAAAGCTGTTTGAGAGGCAGAGGTGAAAAAAATACCTTCTGAATGCTACAGTTAAATATTAGGGACAGTTTTTCAACATTAAATCAACTACAAGAGCAACCAGGTGACATATTTTACATTTTAATAATAATCCATACTGACAGGGCAACAAAGGGTCATGTTTTACCACAACAGGATGTATTTTTTACATTTTCTATTCAGGTAAGGCATCCAGAGGTCACGTTTTTCATACTTTATACACTGGAAGGAAATCTAGAAGGTACTTTCTATATCTTATTTTGCATTAAGGCATCCAAAAGGTCCTTTTTGGGGGTTTTATAAACTAAAGGCACATCCAGGGGAGCTACTTTTGACGTGACACTCACAGGAATGGCATCTGTTGGGCACTTTTTCATGTTTATACTTTATAAGAGCAGCTATTAAACCTACTTGTGTTCATTTTCAATGGAAAGGGCACCACAGAGGGATTACTTGAGGTTCTATGAGGTTCATTACTAACTGTAAGGTGTCCACTCACCATTGTGAATTATACTCTCGAGTAGGATGGCCACTCGAAGGGCTAGTCATTTGCACACTTTCATTTATAAGGCAATATTGGGTCTGCTGCCTTCATACATTTGCACCTCAATTACTCAGAGAAATGCTGAATCTTATTCTCTTCATTCACAAGATCAATTGTTGCTTTCTGTCCCTTTTGCTCGTACGGAGATGGGTAAAAAGACATTTGTTTACTCTGCACCTCATGTGTGGAATGTGCTTCAGAAAGACTGGAAACTAACTGACTTAACTTCTTCGAGCACTTTTAAATCCAAACTGAGAGTTATTGAGGCCAGTTCCACAATGCACTTGTTTCTCATAATGTGTTTAAGTTCTGGATATTAAGTATAGGATATTTCCTGATTAAATAAAGGTTAACTAAAAAAAATACATTTGTACCTTCTACAGGAGCATCCCCCCAACTACTCTGTCTTGTGTTCAGGTACAAGAGGGTGTTTCAGAGATGAAGATTTAAAGCGTTTTTATGATGTGGCTGCATATTCCTAAATAAAACCAATGGTAAGAAGAGACTAAATACTTTTAAGAGGCTCGTTCTGAAGTATTTGTATTTTGTATTTATTTATTTAGCACAGATTATAACCTGTCTATGTCATAGTAACTTTGTCGTTTGCACCCTATGCCTTCACTGCCCTGATGGGAGTGGAACTTTGTATAATCCTATCGGCTTTGTTCCCTCCTTGCACCGTTTTTATATATACAATGATTAGGGAAAGGTCATTAATAGAACGCAGACTAATCACCAAACTGTGATAGAGACAATATAAGTATTCATAAGAAGGAACAAAACATGATCATAACAAATAATGATGTGTTTAAGACATGATCAGATGAGGTTTTAATGATATTTTAAAAGATTTGAGGGATGATATTGATTTTAGAGATGCATCCCGATTATTCCACAGTTTCAGTCCTCTAAAGGTGATGTTGGACTGATGATAAAAGTTCGACAGGAAGGTAAGTGAAGATGGCCGTTTTGTCTTGTTGAGTACGGGTGAAGTTCAGATGAAAAGGTAAAAAAGTTTCTGTAAGTTTCAGGAAGGGCTTGTTTGTTATTGATAAACTTATGGACAAACAAGCAACCCACTGAGCAAAAGACGGCTATTAGACGTCCAATTTTTTTCTAAAACTTATTTCAACCGTCTAGATTCTGTATGTTTTTAGACGGAATTTAGACGTTGCACCTTAACCCATTATTCGATAACTATTTATTTTAAAAAGCAACTGTGAGTTACATAACTGATCTCCAAGTACTTAACCAAAATAATTATGATAACCGTTGAGCAATATACAGTGTAGTATAGATATGGCCCAGATTTAGATTTAGTCTAAACTTGGTCTAAATTTAGACGTCTAAAAAACTTTCATTTTTAGACCTGTGGTAGCCTGATTTTAGACCAGTCGTCAAGGCTACATTTAGACGTCTATTAGACCTCTTTTAGACCAAATAATGCACAGTGGGAAGAGTGAAAGACATTGAGTTTGTCGAACAGTAAGATTGAGTATTTAGTCAAGAGAGGTGCAGAAGGTTCATGTCTGCTGGATCGAGATATCATTTTTAAGAATCTTTTCTGGATTAGTAATAATTTCTTGAGGTAAGATGGATATGTTTGACACCATACAATATTACAATAGTTCATATAAGGAAATAGGAAGCTATAATACAAGGTCAAGTGAGCAGAGGGATTGATCAGAGGACAGATATATTAGTGAACACTTGAAGCACAGACTTTGTCAGACTTTCAGCTGAATGTGAGGGCGAAACAGAGCGTCTCTGTTTTAAAGGCAGCTGACTTTTCCTGTTGGCTGGTGAATAAAATGAATTCCAGGAGAACCGCAGAGACTCACAAACCAAGGTGAACGACACAAACAAACGAGGCTGTATTCACAGAGATGGAACAGTTTGCTGCGGTTGATTGGAAATCGTCCCTTCATTGTCTCTCCTAACAATCCGTCTCTCATTATTGGACCCAAAGCAGGTGTAATCCATACCTGTTTAACCCTTTCCCATTACAAGACCCTCGGGGGGAGCTGGAATAAGACGCTGACATGCTGACGAGCTGCTTTGCATAAACCCAGAGGACTCGCCTCAGAGAATCTCACGCCTGGGAATGTGACCCATCACCGACATCCACATCTGCAATATCTTCAGTGCTAATATTTAAATTTCCCTGACAGCTGGAGGTCTGCAGAAACTGACTCTGGTCACTGTCATTAATCTGATGCAATAATCATGGCTGACCTGTCTGTCACCGAGCGGTAGGTAATAATGGGTAAAAGGCCGCGGCTGTGGAGGAGGCATTTGGGGATGGGAGGCACGGCGATGACAGGCTGTGTGAGGGAATTGTGGGAAACAGAGCTGACTCCTCCAGAGCCAGAGGGAGAAACACACCACAGCTGCTGCTGCCTGGATGATGATACAGGCAGCTGAAGTCCTGGGAAGCTTTCCCATCTGCCCCGGCTGTCTCCCAGCATCATCTGGCTTTCTCTTCTTCTTCTTTGGGCCCAGCTCTTAACTTTGACAAAGCAATTCAACCAAGAGAGGCACCATTATGCTTTTACTTTTGAGTGATTGTAGACACCTACTGAATGCTATGAGCTCTTAAATTGACCAATTTTAGGGGCGTAAAAAAGAGACAGATTTTTGAAAATGTGAGACAAACAGCAGAGTTGTTTTTTCAGGGTTTATTACACCGACAGTGTCTTTATCGAGTCTGCTTTTTATACTGCGTTCACACTCTTACACCAACACCTGTAACTTGTACATCACCTCCTCTGACGCATTGCCCTCTGAGACTGGAGTCAAAAATAGTTCCCTCAACCTCGTCTACATAGAAAAACCAAGATGAGAATCTCTGAGACTGAAATAGCACGCAAGAATGACAAGAATATAAATGATATGCGCAATGTGCTTCTGTGTTTTTGTGTCGTGTGAGATATGTGTGCATTAAAGTAAACAAGCTGCTTCTTTTCTCGGACTGGTCTCTCTCTTTACAGCGCTCTAGATTAGTATCCTATATATATCTGTCACCTGCCACCTTCACTCTGAGCATAACAATACACAGTGACATCTAGAGAGGGCGAGATAATGTGTTTATATAAGATATACAAGAGACAAACGTCAATATCTATAAATATAAAGACTCTGTTTTGTAGAGTTGTAGAGGGAACCCTTGTTTCCAAATAACCACTTTACAATTCATGATTTTGCACGCTTGGAGATTCCTGTATCCTCTTGGAAAGCCTGTCATATCCCTTAAATGTCCCGTTGGTTGGCTGGCTGTGCGTCCTAACTCATGCGTCACATGAGTAGGTGCGGTTTACGCAGCGCAACAACCCAAATAGTCCATATGTGTCTGCTTCGTCCTCAGAGAAACACGCATTTTGAAAGCTGCAGGTTTTATTTTAACTTTTTCATTCATCATTTTGGGATTGGAGTTTTGATTTTTCCCTCCGTGGATAAGGAGACCTCCACTTATTTTATTTCTCAGGGGGGTCGTTTTCAAACAGAGACCTATCTAGAGTGAAATGCTGTCAGCTGTGATGTGCTGCAGCTGCAACAGCCTCGATGTAAAACCGCTGGGCAGGAGCCGAGAGCAGGTTACACACATCCAAATATGCGCGTAATTGGAGTGCTGTGGCGAGGCGTCCCTTGCACCCCCACGGAGTCAGCGTCGTCGTGATGTACAATACTTCGGGAATTGAGCTCGCTTCTAACAAGAAAGAGGAGATTTCCGAAGTTAGCAATGGCACTTTGCAGCTGCTGTACAACGTCCTCGTCACCATCAGTCCCACCGCCATGTGGAACGAGTCGTGTGGGGAGCAGCTGCAGGATTTCGGGCGACCCGAGAAGATCATCATCGGGGTGATGCTGGCGATCATCACGGCGGTCACGGTGATGGGCAACACGCTGGTGGTGATCGCGGTGTGCGTGGTGAAGAAGCTGAGACAGCCTTCAAACTACCTGCTGGTTTCCCTGGCTGTGGCGGACCTGTCAGTGGCCATAGTTGTGATGCCGTTTGTGATAGTGACGGACCTGACCGGGGGAAAGTGGCTCTTTGGGGAGGTCTTCTGCAACATCTTCATCGGCATGGATGTAATGTGCTGCACCGCCTCCATCATGACCCTGTGTGTGATCAGCGTCGACAGGTGAGTTTCAAAAGTTACAAACTCGAGCCCTCTGTTGACGAGGCATGTCAGCTCACAACGACACCACCGGTTTTACGCACACACGCTGCGCGCACTACTGACAAAATACTTTCTCTGTCTCCCAGCATCATTATGAGAGGGAAAGGATGAACAGAATAACGAACTGTAAGCATGACATGAGATCATTTGTCGTCTCAAAGCCTGAAAATGACATTAAACTGCTTAAATCGAGATCGCCAATCCTGTGATTATCCGCCTGGATCAATGCTCTCATCAGAAAATTAAAACGCAGACTTTGATTAGTTTGAGGAAAGCTTCACTGGTTTGCTGATCGAATCATGGACGATGGTGTGAAGGATCAGCTCTTAAGTGGACTTTGATACATGAAATCCTCCTTTACCGGCATAAACGGCAGAAAGATCAAATCTGCAGGGGCGAGTCTAACATTTTTGACAGGGGTGGGCACAACTGAGGGATTGACTTCTGCAGGGGTGGGATGATTGAGGAGTGCACAAATGAATGTCATCTCTGTATCCACTAATAACATCTCTTCTCACTAACATTAAGGTACCTAAGATGGAGATTTTAGGTTTACATTTTTTATCTATGCAACGTTTAAAAGAAGAAAAAATGACATAAAGCAGTCCTAATTCCAAAAGTTGGGACTCTGCGTAAAATTTAAGATAAAAACAGAGTTTAATTGTTTGCAATGAAATCAAAGCCTTCATCTAACTGAAAATAGCAGGAAAAAACGTTTTAAATGTTAAAACTGCAAAATAAAGGTGTTATGAAAAATAGTTCTTAATTGTAAATGTTTTTGCAGCAACGTGGTTTTAAAAAGTTCTCACAGAGGAACTTTTAACATGTTTCTGCTGGCCTTTAAACTACACAATAACAGGCTGATCCATGAATTACAAAATGAGTGTCAAATTTTGGATCAACAGACTAAAGGACAGTTTTAACTTTGCTTCAGTCTGTCTTAAATGGACTCAGAAGTCACCTGAGTTTATGGATCCTGTTTACCCGGTTTTCTTTTTGCATGGTAAATTTTAAAAACTGCACTATCAAAATATTTGTTATTCCTGTTTTGGCCACTTTGCCCCAAAGATTTAAGTACATCAGATAGGGAAACAAAACAAACAACAGAGCAGAGAAACTGAAGAAAATGAGAATAAAGCCAAATACATAAATACACTAATATCATATCATAATATCCAGTTTTCCCGTCCTCAATCTTTAAACTCTCCTTGGTCTTAGCGTCAAATTTTCTGCTGTTTTGTCACATCCATCCAGTCACATATTGTCACCTTTGGACAATGACTGGGGTGGCCAATCAGATTTCAAGGGGCTTAGGCCACCCCTAGCTATGTTTTGGACCCGCCCCTGCACACATGATCACTTTCCCCCACAGTCCTTCCCCTTCATATTAAAATCTCAGCACAGAGCCGATGATGTTAACTCCTGCAGAAACTGTTTTTCCTTTTCACTCCATCCATAAACATGAGGTTTATCACTTTAGCAGATTTCCATAAACACACCACTCATGGAAATACGCTCCCCGAATCCCCCACTGTGCTTTCAGTCCCTCTTTTAAAGAGGAGGGAAATTAACACAACCCAATTCTCCCAATCAAGCTTCATTATGATTCACTCTGCATGTGCAGGTAATCTGTGACTCTTCCGCTCGTACCTCCTCAGCAGACCCTGATGGATTGTGACAAATGAGACGAGTCCTCTGCTCCCACTTTAATCTACAGTGACACAAGAGTCGAGCGATGGGTGTCACTGCTCTGCCTCACTGGGTCTAATGAAGACAGAGGCTCACTCTGGTATTGATAATCTGATTGTTTCTCCCTGCGCTATTATCTGGCGTTATTAACTCAGTGCGTTACATCCTTACTTTTGCACGCTTCCTAATCGAGGATGGATGATGTAGCTGTGACGCAGTGTGGTCGCTCAGGTCTGCGGGCAGATGTGTGGATGTGTTTTTGGGCTGGAGAGGTAAAATAACCAGATTAGTGCTGTCGAGGAAGACGTCCTTCTGGGGGTTAAAGCAGAGGTCACACTGATCGTTGGAGATGGATGGATAGAGTGTGATTTAAAAGTCATCTGTGGCCACTTAACTCCTCCATGAGGACGTAAGAGCCTCTTCAGTTAATATGAAACCACATTGTTCACACATTCTTGAAACCACAACTTCAGCGAATTCATAAGGAGGACATTGTGTTCGTTGTCAAGAATTAACCTGAATAGCGATGAACAATTGCCAACCTGTCACAGCAGCCTTATCTTTGTGTTTCAGCAGAGGGTAAGTGGGAGTGTGGCAATCTGCCGTCGCCGGGTCTCATGGCCATAGTCTGTGATTAGAGATGGGAATTGCTCTCGAGATATTCTCAGAGAAGACAAAATGGACCCACCTGTGAGAGATCACGTCGAGAAAGATAGACGAGGTGATTGAATCTGGCGCTATGAATTCATGAAGTGTGTGTGAATCCACCAAACCTTCAGAGAGAGGATGTTTTTCCTGCTGAGGATTAAAGAAACATGAAGTCAGCGTGGGGTTATTTTCATCCTCCTCGCACAGGCAGCCTTTAAACTGATCTGCGTGAAAACAGACTCATCTTAATTAAACAGTGCGCTGTGTTTGGCATATGATTCACAATGGGAATCAAAGAAATAATTCATTAGGTTGAGAATTGCCAATTAGACACATGATTAGTTGTAATTAGCGCTCTCTTGCTGTCTTTGGGATTTCCAAGGACATGCACTGTCTGTCAAAGCCGGAGCTGCAAACGAAGAGGCAGAAGAATAAACAGGATTGTTTCGGGGGGTTGGACTGTCTCTGAGAAACACCGGTGGTCTCTCAGAGCTGCTGTAAATGCCAATATAAACAATGTGGCGCTATAGGAGGAGTCCCCAGTGTATAGGGCCAATGAATTTATGATCCTGCGGGGACCTGACAGGCATCAATAGATGAGCTAACAGAGAAAGCTTTCACCTTACTGGATTACAACTACTCTGACTTTCACCATCTACTTTAACAGTCTAATCAGCCTCAGGGTCCCACGGGCAAAGTGAGATAGGAGACACCGTAAAAGAAGTTAAATAATGGTGATTTATTATCTATTTTAAGATGCGGAAACCATACATATCAGAGGAAAAGGTCAAAAGGTCACCTCAAGGTCGACTCGAGCAGTGTTGTATTGTAGGGCAACAAGGTTTTAAGCCAGGAGGAGCGACGAACAGAAAAATTTAAATTGCAGCAACGCTTGAGTGCCCAAAACAGAAAGATTTCTATATTTCCTTAATTTGTCAGCAAAGACCTCAAGAAGATGTTTTTTTGTGGACTTCAGTGTAGTAGTTAGAGCCGGGCGATAAACTGAAAACTTACCGATACAGAAATTTACGAAAATAACTAACGTCACTTTGCCCATATCGATATATTTGGTGTCAAATAAATAAATAAATAAATAAAAGTTGTTTTTGGATGTGTGTAGGTAGGCTATGGTCTCATGTCCCTTTAAGAGACGTGACTCCACCCCATCCAGTCCGTAACAAAGATTTCTATATGACAGGTGAGGAGATGGAGGACGGTTCAAAAGTTGTAGCGGCTGGAGCGGCGGCTGAAGTAGACAAAGTTAATGTGGAAGGGACTCCAGCAGTGTTATATGGCCTCAGTGTTCCAGGCCATATTGCTCAGCCCTCGTAGTAGTTGTGACTCCTCTTCAGTAGGTGGCGGTATGTCCCATTTAAGCTCGTTACTCTTGGGCCATGACTTACAATGTCATCTACCAAAACAACAAATAATTACGCTGGCAGGAGGCTGAGGGGAAAACAACAGCGTTACAGCTCTGTACTGATACAACTAGGGGTGTCCCAATGTGATATTGATATCGGATATCGGGCCGATATCAACAAAAAAAATCAAATATCGGATTATATCGGCCTGCATCTAAAATCTCTGATATCAGCACTCTGATACAAGCAGTCCATTCCAGACTCCACTCCAGCACCTCTATCTAGCAGCGCCCTGATTCAGCATGTAGAGCCAACATGATCACAACCAACAGTGTGTACTACGGTACGAACAAAGTAGCAAAAAGTCGGAGTGATGTCGGCTGTATTTTTCATTCACGTCCGAAAAAGACGTTGCAGCTGAGTGAAAAACTTGTCGTGCACAAGTTTGTGGAATATCGGAATCGGACATTACTGAAGGCTACAATATTGGTAATATTGGACACCCCTAGATACAAAAGCTTTGTTGTTTCCCATTGGGGACTTAAATGTTTGCATGTGTTTCTGAAGTCCAGCTCCAGTTGGACTAATTCAATAAACTGTTTTATATTTTAGATTGTCAAGTTTATCTGGTCATTAAGATCCTGTTTATTTGCGTCAGAAGATAAGTCTAATAATAAGGACAAGTTACAGTGGAGAGGTAGAACTTCCTTTAACAGGCAGAAACCTTGAGCAGAACCAGACTGATGTTGGACAGTCATCTGCTGAGACTGAGCTGGGTTTAGAGAGGGGAGAGAGAGAGGTAGGAGTATCCCAAATCTGAAGCTTTTTTCTGATTTTTTTTTACTCCTTTTGAATATGAACTTCTGTCAACAACCTCTAATAAAAATAGTCTTTTGACTGTTCTCACCCACTGAAAACCATCAGACATGAAGAAAAGGTGACATGTCTGTAACCCGGGTCATATTCAAACCGCTGCAGAAAAAACTCTTCACTGCTATTGATTTTATTCTTGACGTGTAAATGTTGATGTATGGCTGTGAAAACCACGCTTAGAGTTGAGTACCCGTTCCTCACCTCCAGCCTCTGTAAGTGGAAACTCAACGCTGCAAATCGAGCCTAACACACCGCAGCATTGACCCAGTCACAGCAGAGGAATCCGGTCTGAGTGTTGTGAAGTGAATAAATGAGAAGTTATTCACCCAGGGCCTGCTTTTTAAACGGAGGTCTGCTCTTTCACAAGATATCCCAGCATGCACTGAGCAGGGGTTTAGCCGCTTTCATGCCCACAACCCTACGATTGTTTGCATCTCTTTTGGCCACAGACGAATTATTTATTTACAACAGTGTTAGAGATAGATACCAAACAAATAGAGACTATAACTGTCTGAAGTGTGCAGAGGAGAGATAGGATCTAGGTCAAGAAAACATGATATAACTGCAGTTAAGCAAACTTTCCTCCGAGGTTGAGCCTAAAGAAAACACAGCGTAGGTGTGATCACACCCGTAAGCTCCAGCAGGGGATTTGAGGGAGGACATAACGCTTGCCGGGGCGCTGAGATGGCAGCTGGATTAGCCGCAGACTTATCGCTCTTCCTGCCAATCGGCGTGTCAATGATGAGCCGAGTTTTCACCCAGCCCTCCAGTTTTCTGATGGTATTTTCTCCGAGGTCGCGGTGTAAGTTCGTCCCAGGAGAGGCAGCGAACCGCTTAGTGCAGCTCGGGAACATTGGGCGGCAGCAGCAGAAACACAGATGACTTGACCCGGCTGACGCATCCTCAGGTAATGTGATGTGACGCCTGAGCTCCTCTCACTCAGGCTCTGTTCACTTCCCACTTGTCAGCCGCCTTGTGAAATGTGGGGGATTGGACGGCTCCTGCTTGTTGACTGTGATCAGATCGAATGCAGGTTCACGCTTATAAAAGAAGCTAAATCAGGAGAGAAAGTGTGTCGAGGTAGAAAATAGGACGAGACGCTGTATTCTGAAATCCTCTGATTAGGAACGGTTCAGACACAGGGCCACATTTAGGAGGTTTTGTCAACAACAGGAGTGTAAAAAAGACACCTGAGCTGTTTTATATACATGAATCAAAGCTGAGAGAGGAAAAACTAATTTAATTTGAACTCCTGAGGCCTGTAAACAAACACTTTCTCTCTGCTGTGAATGAAAGCAGAAGGCCTCTGTTGAGTTAATCATTGACGGGGAAGCTCAAACCGTCAGTTTCCTTCCTGTTTGAATTTTTGTTTGACTTTTATTGCAGAAGCGCCCGCAGATCACACGATCAGATAGGCTGCTGTTTGGGAATGACCCTGAAAGCCGCTCACAAGTCTGAGAACAAAGGAGAGATAAATTACGGCCTGTTGTTTGTCATGCTATTGTTCTTCATGTCTCAGTATCGGAGTATCGAGACCAGAGCTGCTGCAGAGATCTGCACTCGAGACGCGGAGGAATCCGTCTTACACGTTTTATTTTTAGGGTTTTCTGCTGGAAATTTATGGAAATGTGATTCAGAGCCAAACCTGAGGTCTGGTATGGGTCCATATGGTGTGGCTCATACCCTGATGTCAACACTTATGTGCACAGAAAAAATATGCAAAAAAATATGCAAAAAAAAAAAGGACTGACTCTGACATTCGTCTTCGAGTCCAGGCTGCACCTGTAAGCCTGTGCAGAACTGGACCTCTTTAAATGCAGACTTACGTCGTGTTCACACCTAAAGGTCAGTTTTCTGATACCAACCAAAGCGAGGATGACTTATTAATAATACATTGTTGCAATTTCTCAACTGGTCCGGTTCGTGTTCACAAAGGCCAAACTCAAACGGTCCAAAAACTGTCACATGGCAGCAAAAGAGTAGCATCGTCTGCTCAGTTTTATGTTGCTGCTGATCTAGACTGCATATCAATAGACTTTAACCAACCACACATACGAACGGCTGGGAAGACTGGGACGATAATCGGAAGGTCATATCACAGAAAACAACAGGCAATAATTCGTAACCCCACGTTTGTCCCCGGCCAGACATAAGCCGCACTTTGCTAACTTTGCCTCTGACCAAAACGGGATATGACGTGTAAAACGGCACGCTTCCTGTGATTGGTGCGGATGGAGTTCACACCGTTAGTAAAGCGCTGAAGAGTTCACTTGATAGCGGTCCGAGACCACCCCTACCAGGCGTACCAAAGAGCAGTTGATTGGTCCGCACCAGAGTTCAAGGACAGCGTTCACACCAACCAAAACGAATCGCACCAAGAAGGTAAACGCTCCAGGGTTCAGTTCAACTGGACTAAACAAGGCTGGTGTGAACGCGACCAAAAACACCAACAATGGCAGATTCTTCATCCAGACCACTTGCTCTTTTGCTGTCCTGTTTGTTGTCTGTATTACAGGTTGATTTAATTCATGCAGTTCATTGAAATCTGCATCCATTATTTGTTTACATCCCTGCAGATGTTTCCTTTTCTTCTTGACATTTTGAGGCTCCTGTCTTCGGACTGTTTGATCCCCTCCCTTCCTGAAGAGCCGGGTCTACCCTGCTCTCAGATTTTGTTTGTTGTACTTTCCTGCGTTTTGACATTGAGGTTGATGGATTAGAAACCAGTCCACAGATAGAGATCTCAGTATTATTTTTCTATTCCCGGCTTGTCGCCCTATTTACCCAACGATCTCCGGCGGCAGGAAGAAGAAAAGGTTAAAGCGCTGAGAGACTTTCATGAGGCGTAAATCACGCTGTGTGTTTGCCTTAACAAAGGTGGACTCCATTATTCATCAGGACTGAACAAGCATTTACAAAGCTCTGAGATAATGACTTTCCTCGAGCTGAGAGTCACTCTTTATTTGGAGTCGTGAAATGAACCCTGGACTTTTTATCCATGATTATTGATAAAAATGTAAAATACGGTTCAGTCAGACCCTCACAGCTGATTTTTCCCTCTCTCTGAGGTCAGGTTGTGTAGAAGTTGGTGGTTTAACCGCCCGCAGCGCGCAGAGTTTTGATTCCAGCTGTGAAGTAGAAAATCGAGTCATGGTGACACGTCACTGCCAAACTGCCCTTGAGCACAACGCTGAGTCCCAGAAGTGACCACAAACTGGGTCATGGGAGTGTGGGCAGCCCTGCACGCTTACAAATCCCTTTGAGTCTGTGTGTGTGTGTGTGTGTGTGTGAGATAGAAGGAACAGGAAAACACCAAACAGATAAACTTGAACACGTGCCAACCATAGGACGTCCTTTAGATCAGAGTCTCCCTCCTTATTGACGAACCTGAAGTCTGTTGAAGACATTAAACTGTTAAGATTCACACCCTCCAGATCAGCGCTCTGCAGACCTTTGGGACGCAGTCGTCTGCTGACATCAGTCTGATTGTCTGCAGCTGTGTGTTTGGATCATAGGCCAAACTTTGATGATAATTGAAGAAGGGATGGGAAATGTTAAGAATTTAATGATTCCAATTCCATTATCGATACGATTCTTTATCGATTCTCACTGAGTGAGACTTAAGATAACACAAATGGGTAATATAAATTAACCTACTGGAATTCAGAAGCATCTACGGCGGCAAAAGGATGTAACCCGTTGACCACAAATCTGCTCACAGCTCGGTGACATTCGTCTGTCATTTTACTCTTCCCTGCCTCGATGAACAGGTCTGCCAAAGGTGTGCGAGAGTTACCCGCTGCAGCCTCTGAGCTAGCATGACTCTGGCAGTCATCATCATCTAAATGTAATTTAAAATCCGATTACCGATTAATCGGCCGATTTTTTAATTTTTTATTAAGTTATAGAAAATATTTATATACTGTTGATATCTACAGTATACTGTAGACATGCTATAGGCTACTATCGCCAAAGCAGACAAACAATTCTTCGGAACTGAATCACTGGGAACTGGTTCTAAAAAAGAACCGGTTATCGATTCTCATCCCTCAGTAGAAATTTGTTCAAATTACAGTCAGTATCATATCTCTCGTGATGCCTGTGATAACAAATGTACTCTTCATGCATTTGTCTCTTTGAAATACTAATTTTGTATTTCTCTAATAACCCTCTGTGAGTTACTGTCCTGTTGTGATTGTTGAGCCAATGATCTGCAGGCACAGATGGATGTATTTAGAGTTGCTTAATCTCCCCAAATCTGCTGTCCAGACTCTCAGCTCGGTGCTTCCATAATTTTAAGCCTCTAAACCTACAATGTTTGGTCCACATTAACTTATTTTGCTCTGTCTGTTTTTTTCCACTTCTTTTGCACATGTTAATCTGAGTTCTTTGGTTTTGCCTTATTACTAAATTAAGTGTTTCTGACATGTTGTAGTGCGTGCACTCCTCTGGAAACAGCGCTGTGACCTTTCTATCTGAGGATTATTATTATTATCAGTTTGATTACAGTGCTGTCACAGCTGTGTGTGCTCTCACCTGTGATGGCATTTTGTTTTCTATCTCTTAAATTAAACCTGCCTGACCATTAATCCTGGAAACACAGTGGTAAAATGTGCAGTTAAATAAGCTTTTCCAGCAGGTAGAGGCGGAGTAAAGGGGAATTGTTTTCTCTATTACTGCATGGAGGCGAGATAAACAGCAGTTAAGGGAGTCTTGTAAAGAGGATTCCTGTCATCAGTCATCGTTTGTGTCTCTCCTGCTCATTGAGCCCAGACAGGAGCAGAGATTATTTTTACATATCTTTTCATGCTGATAGTGAGCAGAATCAAATTACATTCAATTTGCCGCTCAGTCCTGAAAAGCATTTATATCATTTGAGCTGAAGTCAGCAGTCTAGCCTTGCTGCTTTCACCCTTTTTTTTTGTGAGTAACAGATCTGTTCTCATTAGGTTTGCATGCTTTTCTTTACTGTTTGATTTTGTGGTGAAATCCTGCTTAAACAGCCATGAAACACATTTTTACGACCTTTGTGTAAATCTTTGTTTTGTTGTGAAGAAGCGGGTCTTGTAACGTAATCCCTGTGAAAGTAAGCACCTATACCTGCGTCTTTTAATGATGTTTAAACAGTAATGGAGCTACTGTAGCCTATAAATCTGCAGGTAAAGGCCATAGGCAGCATGTTTAAGACACTGTTTAAAAGCCTTTATAAAAAACATGATGATTTATGAGTATGGAAAATCTTCATTCATGTGTTTTTCTGCAGTAGTTTTAAGTCAATCATTGTTTTTTTCCGTTTTAATCTTGTATTTGAGCTTGACAATGACACCAGGGTCTGATAAATATTTACATGATGTTTTTTATCATCATTTCAAGCTACAGCTGACTGATTTAAAAATGATTTTATTAATTCAAAAATGCAGCTGTGAAAAAAAGTTCTTCCCTTTCCCTGTTTTTTTTTAACACTTCCATGGCAACAGTCTCCTCTTATCAGCCGACTTGTGGACTAAATTAACATCAACTTAACATTTTCATTCACGGTTAGGTCAAAATATCAGGATACCCCTGTTGGCATTTTGAACTTATGCTTAAAATAAACACAGCACCTGGTTAAGGCCTCCTGCTCCTATGCTTTAATTTCAAACCCCTTACCGTGGTCATGTTTGTGTTTACGACACGTTTTCTTCACTTTGTCTAAAGTCTTTTTTAAACAATAACCCCAAATCTTTAGTTTTCTGCTCCCTTAATAGTTTTAAAGAATTTTAAGACATCCTCAGCGGAAATGTGAATTAAGGTGCGCTAACATCTGATTCTGCAGCACTACACCGGTGGGAGAAACTAAATCTAACTGTCCAATTAAGAAAGGGAATCGAGATATTACAAGAGTGAAAGTGTAATGAAAGGAAAACATGGCAGTTTAACAGCCTTGGCACAAATTTATGACTGATTTTTATTGAGCAAAACTAAACTAAAAAAACCGACAGCAAAAGAACCCTGAAATTTGGCAGCAAAGAATAAAGACTAAATCTGTAATAGCTGCCAAAATTGACATGGAGACCTGGCTGAAGACACAGCAGAGCTGTAAGTGCAGGTTATGCAAGCTCGCACTAAAAGAGAGTCAGCTCAAAGTCCAGTTTACACAGATTAAAATGAACTTGTCCACGTTCACAGTACAGTTTTGAACTAAGTTAACGGTCCAAGACTCTGACAGAGCCTCCTATTCTTCAATCATTAGCTCCCAATCATTCACAAAAATCTCATTTAAATTTAATTTACCAGTAAAATACAGAAAAATCTGCATCTTTCATAACCACCAACACACCTACAACAACACTAATCTGTTTGCTGAATATTTGGCTAAATGTACCGACTCAAACACCCAAATACGGAGTGACAGTCTGCTTCGTAACGCACGAGGTGGGTGAGACGGTTTTCACATCCCTGAGAATAAAGGCGTAGGAGTGAACACACTCAAACCCAAAAATAGAAAGATAATTAAAACCATGTGAGCTGTTCGCCTGTGGGAATCTGTGCGGGTTTGTTCAAAACATTTCTTCAGAAGTTCTCAAGAGTCGGTCTTATCGGCTGTAGGTTGCAGCATTCACGCCAAAACAACTGCTCAAGAACAAACTTGGTATTAGCCAACTTACAATATCTGTAATCGCACAATTCTTGGTTTAAAAAAGTTGAACTGGCTCCAAACTTTGCAAATGATGTCTCAAAATGAATCTGCTAACTGTTAAAGTTCGAGAAAACGGAACAAAGATTACGCTGCTGCACACTCATAAATCAGATTAAACTTAATTTTATATGAACTTTGTCTAAAACACAAGAACTCTATGAGTTACATTTAAATGTTTTGAGGTTCAGGTTATAGACGATAAAAGATTAACAAAGATTTATTCGCCGTGTAAAAAAGTCCAACAAAAAGTTTCAACCTTGAATTATGAAGTTGAATCTGAACATCCCAGTGACTCATATTTTCTGTGAATAAAACCGAATTCAAAGAAGCTCTCGAGTCCTCTTGTTCTTAGCCCAGTTTTTATTCTCTCTCATATTTCTCTGTCCTAAAAATAAAAGGTCAGTGTTTGATGAAAAAGGTTAAAAAAGAAGTACAGTCCTCAACACTTGCTTTTATGTTACACGACACTGTGTGTGTGCGAGAGTGTGTTTAGCAACGTAGGAACAAGTTGGATACGACTCCTCTTCACTGTCCTCTTCCATTTGCCGAGCCTTGAAATGATGACAGATAATGGGCCGCACAGCTACTTCTGCGATACTAACCGCTGACTGGAGGCCAAATTGGAAGAAAGTAAGTCGGCTCCAGAGAGGAGCTGCCTGTGGTCTCCTTGGTAACTAAAAGTGTTCAACTATTTTTCCTAAAAGGTCAGAAGAATGAGGAGAGGGATTAGAGAGATAGATCCCCCTGAGCTTATCTGGAGTTGTTGGAGGTGTCCTCAGAGAGCTCAGGTGCACTTTGGCGACCGAGTCTTTGAGAGGAGAGGTTCGTCTGACGCTGACCACGACAGACATTCTTATTAGTGGGTGGAGGAAGCACTTGGCATGCAGTAATAAACGCATGGATTAAGATTTGTATGAATATTCTGATGAGGCAGCTGCATCCACAAGCCAGTATTTAATTTTGGTGGCAGAGAAGGAAAAAAAAAAGCTGCGTCACAAACGGTCGCCATGGCTGCATCATCATGGAAGTCCATTACAAAGCGGACTTGGGGGACACGGGTCTTAATGCATAACAAGCAGGTCCTCTCAGAGCGTCAGGGGAAGTGGTGAGACCAGAGATGCAGGTAGAGCTGAGAGTCTGAGATATCTAAGGAGCAACTTTTTCTCACACATAACGCTGTTGAACATTTTCTGCTCGCCTCATTATCTTGCTTACGTAATTGTTATTTATAGAAGAAGCTGTGGACATTTAGGATGTGACCAATTTACTTCTGCTTCAGAGTACTAACCTCAGATAACAGCTTTTACAGAGGCGTCTGCTGGTGTGTACATCTGAACCTAAAGTTTCCTGACTTTAGAACACAAATAGCCTATTCGTCTATAATTCTTTGGGTTTCATTAATATTAATCAGATGAGGCTTAAAGGACATTAAGCATGTATCAAGGTCTTAGTTTGTCTTTGGTGGCTTTTAGATGAAAATGGTTTACACCAGCGTATGGGTGACCATACGTCCTCCTTTACCCGGACATGTCCTCTTTTTGGGGGCTGTCCGGCTTTGTCCAGGGGGAGTTTATGTCCGGGGTTTTGTGCAGCGTGGACTAACTGAGTTAGAAGCATGTAAAAAAACACTCAACCCAACCTCAAAATTTTGCGTGAGACTCTGCCCTGCGTAGTCGTGTCCTCTTTTGGGGATTCATTGTAGGGCTGGGTGATATGGCCTCAAATCAATATCAGAATATATTGATCAGTTCACCTCAGTAACGATAAATGGACAATAACTGCTCCACAAGCTGCTCAAGCGAAGCGATGTAAATACCAGAGACTCTGGCGGAATAACGGGCGTTTAAAACGGACATAGACCGGACAAGAGCTAAAAAGCCGGGTCAACATAAACGATAGGGGGCACTTCGGGATCTTCCTGACCCTGTAACCTTTCTGCTGGACAGGTAAACCGCTTTAACAAAGTAAGACAAGTGTCTGTAACAGAAGTGTTTCTTGTCAAACGGACCTGCTGCAGCGTGTTGTAGTGCCATCGCTAAACTGTCTCTCTCGGGTCCTGGACTATGTCACTTTATCCTAGATGTAGAAGTCCTGCAAACATTGTGTTTGCTGGTAGTCTGTTGGCATCTACAGTAGCACCAATGCTTTTGACTTTCACCTTGACTGAGCCCCATTTGTAATGATCTGAAGTATTTATCTGCATTATATCTGAATTTAATTGGAAGGATACGAGCAAGCGAGTTTGTGGGCGGGCTTGCTGGAGCTGAGAGGAGGAGCTGAGGGGAAAACTGGTTGGGAGGGGTAGAGTTTACATTCAAGATTTCTCCCAAAAACGGACACCTCCTCAGATCCTGCCTACCCTACCTTTACCATGGGCAAAATGACGTCAGTTATTGTCATAAATTTCGGTATCTGTAAATTTTCAGTTTATCACCCAGCCCTAATTCAGAGTATGGTCACCCTAAATTAGATTCAATGTGAGGTTGACAGTCGAGCCTGTTGTTATGACTTCTTATTAAGACATATTAATGATTATATACATTAATTTAGCTCACTAAGCATGTTTATCATCAAGAGATTGCTGACTCTCTGCAGCCTGTTAAAACCAGTATCTCACCTTCACCATGGTCTCTTTCGGATCACTTTTTAGACCTCACATATTCAAGTTATCATCTATCTAAATGTCTATAAACACAGGAAAGAGAGAGAGGAGGACAGACTCCTCGGCTGAAGTTATTCACCTTCCACAAATAGACTTAAGTCATTGTATAATAATGAAGACGGAGTTAGAGCTCTCATTAATATTTGCAGGAGAGTACGGGGATTTAAATAAATGACTAAATGAGTTTGCAGACTTAACGGCAGTTTGTTGTATTATTATTTTAAGTTCCACTGAAACTGGTGAGGAGGTATTAATTATAAAAGAGTCAAATATGCTGCACCCCCGGGGAGGACACAGAGAAAGAGAGGGAGCGTGTGCGTGTATAAGGACGCAAAACAAAACCTGGAGTGACTCTGAGTAACTCTCAGGTTTATCAGAGAAGGTCAAGAGCCATACTGCAGCGTGGAGTTTGCATATTTCATCTCTATTTTGGGACCAAATTGGGGACGGCTGGATATTAGTGCTGTATCCGCCATATTCTACAGCCTTGGCACACACTGTGAACAAGTACAAATAAGACTGTTGTCATCCAATAATTTATGATAGGATGAACAATACATCATGGATGAGAGGTCAAGAGACAACTGTAAGTGCTTTCAATGCATCTTGAAGACCAGGAGAGCTCAGAGAGGCTCTCTGAGGCGACTGTTATTAGAGCGAAGAGGCCGAAACTTCACTGAAGGATCAGGGCAGGATGATGGTGTCAGAGTCCAGACGGAAAAGAGGAGGCCGAAGAGGGAAGAGCACACTGTTAAATAATGAGTGAGGTGGGATTTCAGAGTGCTTTAAGATGAACTACATGTGCCGTACTCAGCTGGTGATGCAGTGAAGTATACTGTACAGATAAACATGATGATCATGCGGCTCAGAAAATAACTCCAGGTTAGAGATCCAGGTTCATCTGCTCGCTCCTGAAGATTGAAAAGGAAAGACACCAATCATCCATATTATGACCACAGACAGGTGAAGTGAATAACATTCATCATCTCTTCACAAAGCTCCTGTCAGCGAGTGAGTGGGTTATGTTCGGCAGCAAAGGGACATTTTGTCCTCGTTGATGTGCTGAAAGCAGGAAAAATGAGTGAGAGTAAGAAAGTGAGCGAGTCTGACGAGAGCCAAATTATGATAGTGAGCGAGAAAACTGGGTCTGATTATGAGTCTCTACATCTGCAGCTCTTGTGGGCTGTTCTTGGTCTGTGATAATAATTATTATTATTACATTTCACATCCAGAGAAACCAGGAGGCACCTTTACATTTTATTTACTGGACAGACATTTAAAAGGGACTTTATTTACACTTTAAACATAATAAAAGAATCCAGAGGGAACCTTTTGCATTTAATTTGTAATACTGGAAGGGCATCCAGAGGGTAATTCTGATGTGAAATATATTGAAAAGATATCCAAAGGGTAATTTTTTAAACATCTATATGCTGAAAGGATATTTTTTAGGTTGTCTTTGCTGAAAGTGCATCCTGAGGGAACTTTTATGTCATAAATATGGTGAAAGTGAGTCCTGAGGGAATTTTTTATGTTACATACAGTTTAAAGGGATCCAAATGGCATGTTCTCAATGCTTCTTATTATGGCAGAGTATGCAGAGGGAACTTTTTCTGCATCTTGCTTACTTGGCAAGAACATAGAGGGAACCATTTACATCTTATGGGCTGGGACAACATCCAGAGGGTACTTTTTGCATTTATATGCTGAAAGAGAATCCAGGAGGAACTATTTCAACATTTATCATCTGAAAGTGCATCTCAAGGATATGTTTTAGATTTTCTTTGCAGAAAGGGCATCCGGAGAGAACTTTTTTATGTTAAATACGGTACAAAGGAATTTCAAATGACATGTTCTCAATGGTTCATATTAAGGCAGAGCATCCAGAGGGCACTTTTTCTGTATTATGCTTACTGGACAGGCATGTAGAGGGGACCATTTACGTTTTATTTACTGGACAGACATCTAAAAGGGACTTTATTAACACAGTGACAGAATTCAGAGGGAATTTTTCGCATTTCATTTGTAATACTGGAAGGACATCCAGAGGGTAATTCTGATGTTAAATACATTGAAAGGGAAGTTAGAGGGAACTTTTTTTGTAATAAATATGGTAAAAGTGAGTCCTGAGGGAACTTTTTCAGGGTAAATACGATAGAAAGGAATCCAAATGACATGTTCTTAATGTTTCATATTAAGGCAGAGCATCCAGAGGCCAGTTTTCTGCATTGTGCTTACTTGGCAGGGATGTAGAGGGGATCATTTACATTTAATTGGCTGGAACAACATCCAGAGGGAACTTATTCTACTTTTTGCAACAGGAGGAGCATCTATAGGGCGTGCAGCTAGTAGGCATGCAGTCTTTAAAAGATGTATATTCTTGATGGTCTTCCATAGAGCCATGTTCTCACATGTGACATACTAGAGGGGCATCTGGATGGCATTTTTTTTAATGAAAGGACATTATAAGGGAACTTTTGAATTATCTGTTTTCAGAGGGAATCTAGAGGGCACTTTTCTGCATTTTATACACTGAGGGACATACAGACGGCACTTTGTCATGATACAAATCAGGATAATTCACCTTTTTATATTCATCAGTGGTTTATTTTAATCAAAGGCATGTACATCTTCACTTCCATTGCACCACTCTCCTCCACCTCTTTACTGCAGACCCTGCAGCATACCTGCACTGTGGTCCAAGGACATGGATGGGCACTCTGAGGGGTGGAAGGGACATCCATTCATCACCATGGCACTAATAGTTGCCCATCATCTCTATTGCGGTGGGAGCCGGTAAACCAGCACCAGAGACAGGTGGTGTGCTGCATTGAGGAGGCCATAAAGTACCCAAACTACTGCTCTACAGCAATTACCAGGACATAAAACATCATAAAGGTGTCGGGATGCAGGAGCAGAAGCGCTGTTTCTAGGTGTGTCAAGTACACACTATGATTCTGTAAATAGGTCACCATTTAGAAAAGCTTTGTGCAGTGACAGTGGGAAGCAGAGCATGAGACTTTCAGAGAGGCGAATGAAAACAAGAATTATTTTTAGAGTTCAGTGCTGATCAGAATTTCTAATAAGGACAATACTTGTGTCAGACATGACCCCTGAAAGACTGCTGTAATACTGAAAATACAGAGTTTTAGGATGAGTCAGAGCAAGGATCTTAAAACTGACGTGTAGAAATGCTTCAACTTAGTTTTATTGAGATAAGAAGTCAGAAAGGAAAACTGGGTAGGTGCTGTGAGCTCAAAGATGGCTGCTGCTATATAAAAGAAAAGAAAAAGAACAAATCTTTTCTGTGAACCTACTGAGAAACGAACAAATCACTCACGTGAGTGATTTGTTCGTTTCTCAGTTCAGTTGAGCTGTCAGCTGCCATAGCACGCAGCATTGCCAGGCAAGCGGCTGCAGGGAGGGAAGGAGGGACCGCACACGCCGACGCCTGAATCACTTGGTTAAGGAATCACTGAGTGAACTACGCTCTCCGGAATCATTTCGTCTGAGGGATACACTTTCATGGTGACCATTGTTCCCCGTTGTTGTAACAGTACACCTAAACTATGATGATTTATAAACAAATTCATTTTTACAAACGCGTTTGTCAAAGCAACACAGCCTCAACTCTCTCGTCTCATGGCCCCCCAGAAGCCATAAACCTGAACCGTTCAGCTGTGTATCAGTTCAGGAAGTCCGAGTCGCAGGCTCCTCTGCCAGGCGCTTAATGATTCTGTGACTCGGTGAACAAATCTTATGAATGAATCTTTTTAGTGAATTGATTCTAGTGAGTCAGAAAAGAACTGCCATACCCATCAACACTACTATACCAATGTTCCAGATGTGTTCGGGCTGCCAGATCAGCCCCTATGATGACGTCTCGCTTTATGATTGGCTGGAAGTTGGTTCTGATGATGCCGAAGATTGTGGTTGGTCCAGACATTACGAAAGCGGTTTTCACCAGATTAGGTTTCATGGGATTGTAGTTCTTCTGAGAAAACATGGACGAATTTTCCAAGGCAATCTACAACTTCTTATCAAAGGGGACTTAGGACTAAGACATAAAGAATAAATACCATCTTAAAATTACACTGGAGTAAGTTGTAATTCTCTGTTTTATATGGAGAGAAAATTTCGAGTTCAGTTGAATGAACAAACGGAAATAAAGAAAACTGCGTGGGCCTTTAAACCGAGCACATTAGACGTATTAAATGAAGCGCAATGTTGTTTGTCTGAGTGGACTTGCCGTAGTGTGACGTCTTGAACAGGAGCTGGGCCCCGAGTCCGAACACATCTGGTACCTACATCGTCAAATCTGACTCCAATCGGGGCTATATTTTACTCACAGGACCAAAAACAAACAAATCTCTGTTTCTCTGTTTTGAAAACTTTCACGGTGACATTAACTTTCTCTCTTAAGCGTCCCTCTGTACCTGTGGGCTAAAATAAGCTGTGTCAGTATTCACAGAATATTTGACACCGGTCTGACCTGAGCTGCAGTCCTGAGCTCGAGTTAAGAGGCAAAGAACGTCTGTCCCGAGATGACTCACTTTGCCTTATGTAAGCATTAAAATGAGGCTGAAAAAAGAAGAAGAAAAAAACAAAATCACTCATTCAACCTCAACTTGAGCAGAACTCAGAGAACAAACAGAACTCGACGTTAAGTTTGTTAAGACTAATGAAACCAAGGCTGAATTCTGTGAAAAGATGAAAAAACAGACGGGTTTGCTTGTTTTTCCTGCTTCTTCCTCTGTTGGAAACCACAGCTCTGTTCATGATGTGCTCTGTGAAAGAAGCAGCTCGATTTTTCTTTCACGGAGACGTTCCTCAAATAGAATCGGAGAGCTGAAGCGTTCCTTGAGGACTGAGCTTGTCTGATCTCGGTGAAATCTCAGAACTTTCACTTGACAGATTTGATGCTCTTCAGTCCTGAGCGGCTGAAAATAAATACAGTGAGATGCATCAAAATAAAAAGGTGGATAGATACGCCTGATTGGGTTGATGCATCTAATTTGAAACATGAAAATCTGCAAGAGAACATCCCCTTCAACAACAGCAGTCTGCATAAAACACAGCCTGAGGGAAAGATTAGCTGTGTGCAGATTTCTCACCTTCTCTGCACTCTCATTCACTCTATGTTAAACAAACCGAGCAAAAAGGCGGCGAATCCACACTTTTGAAAACAGAGCAGGGGAGCCGCGCAGAGAGGAGACTGTTCAAAAAACAAGAACACTTTGATTTGAGGAGAGACGTCTGCATCTCTGTGCCCTGCTCACTCACACAGACAGACTGTAACATGGAAATCTGTCCTTTTCTAAAACGGGTAACACTTCACTTTTTCACACAGGCTCCGTTTGGATCGCCCTCGAGAGAAGTGTCGCAGGAATTTGAAACGTCTCGCTGAGATGAGTGATGGAGGGATCCTCCTGCTGAAAGTTTCTGAAAACAGTCGTTTGACAGACTCTCCCTTTCTCACAGAAGAACTTCCTCTAAACTTTACTCTCCTCCACCAAAACCAGCTGCTTGTTGGTGAATAATTCACTGTGTACCCTCTCTCAGACATAAATGGTTTGAGCGCCGCTGCTGCTGCTGGAGATGACCGACGATTGCTGCACGCTGAGGCTGTTTTAAGAATGGTTCACTTTACATTGCCCCAGCTTGTAGTCGGGTGGATGTATTACGCTGTTTGTCTGTGACAGGGTAATCCCTACGGGCTGCTGCGGCTGTGGATATGTCCCAAATCCTCCAGAGATGTGAAAAAACCCTCTGAACTCTCCGTGTGCGTCACCGTGGATGTTATATAGCACGCGGTGGTTCTCAGGGAGGTGAATTTAATCCCTTGCTGCTGGTTTTTTAGTGTGATTATGTGCCGCCTCTGAGGAGTGGGTATCCCATGTGGTTTAAATATGTCACCTATTTTAATCTGCAGTAATGAAACATATTTTGTAGCTGCAGTTTACATATTCCCAGCATGGAGCATGACACCGATGAACTGCACTGGAAGCTTATGGCTACCTGCATTGATTTATCAACCGTTTCCACCTTTCACTTTCACTAGCGCTGACATTTTCTAGTTTATTTCATCTCATTGTTTTGTCAGTACGGCCTGCAAAAATGATGATCCTCACTCTCTCATCTCTTATCATTGCAGATTCAGCCTCAGGGCAGCTGTTTCTTAACCAGAAAATCCACTTTACTCTGCCTGCTCAGACCCGAACAGCAGTCAGAATAGTTAACACAAGCCGGTGAACAAAGTGGAGCTTTTATCAGTGGGAATAATACCGAACATTTCCCACAGGAAAACAGAGCTAAAAGCAGAGTGAAGACCTTTAAATTTGTTATGTTGACAGAAAAAGCAGAACCTAATAAAATGGTAATACTACTAATGCCAACTGGATAACATATTCTTGCATAGGGGTGTCCCGATACAATATTTGTATCTGATATCAATATAAAGTAAAATATCGGATTATATTGGCCTGCATCTAAAATCTCTGATATCACAACAACAGTGTGTACTCAGGTACTAACAAAGTACCAAGGAGTAGGACTGACGTCGGCCCTGCGTCAGTATTTTTCGTTAAAGTCTGAAAAAGATGTTACAGCTGAGTGAAAAACTTATCATGCACAAGCTAGTGCTAATATCGGATCAATATCGGTATCAGACAATAGCTACAATATCGTACTGACAGCTACCATTTCAGTATTGGACAACACTGACAGCAACAATATTGTTATCTGACAATACTGACAGCTACAATATCAGTACTAACAGCTACAATATCGGTATTAGACAACACTTACAGCTACAGTATCAGTATCGACCAATACTGACAGCTACAATCTTGGTATCATATCGGAGGTAAAAAAGTTGTATCGGGACACCCATATTCTTGCATTGATTATTAACTGCAGATAATTGTTGTATAGTTTTAGTTCTTATGGAGACTATAAACCTGTTCACTGCAGAAAACATCATGTATTAATGGGATAGTTTGCAAATGAGGAAAAAGGAGACATGATCCATTTTCAATCCTCACTGTGATTGGGCGAGAGGTGGGGTACACCTGGACAGGTCATTAAACTATCACAGGCCTGGGATATGGAGACAAACAAAGATCCACGCACAAACACACAAACACACTCACACCTACAGGTGATTTAGAGCGAACAACTAACCCAGCAGGCATGTTTTTGGACTGTGGGAGGTAACCAGAGAGAAATCAGGCATACACACGGTAAGACCTCGAAACAGGAACTTTTTACACTAAAACAACTTTAAAATAGATTTTTATAATATAAAAATATTCAGGGTTGATGCCAGGTCTTACTTCATTTCACTTCAAAAACTACCAAAGTGAGCCAAGTCTGGAGTCAACAAGTCAGAGGTTTTCAGAGCTTATCAAACCTCTGATTTCATATTTAACACAAGAAATCTTTGTTTTTTAGACTCTATCTGTGCCGATGAATGAAGTTAAACAGAAACAAAAGAAGAGACAAACTGAACAAACACACAAATATCTTGAAGTCATTGTCAAGAACTCATGGAGGTGTCACACTATCAGGGTTATCTGGGTGCAATTTTGCTAAAAATAACTCGGAAATGAGAGTTTTTTTGCACATTTACTGTCTTTGCAAAGCCCCACTAACAAAACTACCCAATACAATTATAAACCTTGATGATGCGATGGGCTGCAGATGCTGTGATACTTTTAGATTTTGCATCGTAGCAGAAGTTTCAATGTGCCTTCGTGTCGAGTCTGCAAAACTGAATCTCTGAGGTGCAGACAAAAATCACAGAACTATTTTCAGTTTTAGCTTGAGGAAGGAAACAGCAAACCAGAAAGCCACCTGAGCAGATGTCAAAGAGATATGAGGTCAATGTTTGAGCCTCTTAAGATTGAAGATACTGAACACCGTGAGCAGAAAAACTACAGCAAACCTTCAATAAACCAGATTTTTTACAAGTTAGCAGACATGTTTACCACAAAATGATGCAGAACAAGTCAAATCTGGTGCACCAAGATTGGTAACTGATCCAGATTGGTCAGTGTTGTTTCCACCCTGTTTCTGCTGCCCCCAAGTGGCCAAAAAATACACTATTACAGTTGTAATAACTCACCAGAATAGCTCATGCAGAAGTTTAATCTTCAGACGGTTTTTGTTTTATCAAAATATTTCTGTATGTTTTCTCAGAAGGTGGGATGTGGAGGGATAAACCCAGTTATGTAACTCTCGTGTGTCTGTTTCCTGCTTCAGGCTCATTGGGGTCAGTAAAATATAATCACTTTATGTCAAAGCCCACCGGGTCAAACCAACCGGAGGGCTCTGCAGATGCTCTCATCAGCTCATCCTGCTGAAACGCACGCAGGAGGCGGTGTAATGGAGTGTTTAAATGCGTGCTTTCTTATTCAACCTGGCAGTTGTTTTTTTCTTGAGAGGGATGGTGAGAGGATCTTGAATCGCCTGAAAACAGCTCTGACTTCTAAGAGGCTGAGGATGAGTCATAGTTTGTGGAGATCTGCCCTCCAACCAGCAGCAATGCACAGATATCCCCCCCCCAAATAACCCACATCACCACCTTTCTCTTTAGTGAATGTGGCATTCACAGAAGTGTGGTATCGCCGGGTTTCCATCATGAGCTTCTTAGAATATTTCTTTCTTTGGAGTTTTGTCCTACTTCGCCTCGTAGGTTCCTGTGAATCACCACAGTGGACTGACTGCCTGCAGCTGCAACTACTATTTATATCACTCTTATACTTATATTGTTATTATAGTTGTTAACTGTAATCTCAGAGCTGCTTAACTCCAACTGATACTATCACTGTTATTACGCACTTCAGTCCTTTGGTTAAGCTTACAGGGTCTTGGCATAATATTGCAATAATATGACTAATATTACATTTAATGCAGTGCTTAAAGACCCACTCTGATGAAAATCATGTTTGTCTTGTTGTCTACATGTTCATTTATCACTTTTCTAATGCTACAGGACATATCATGAGAAAAAAGTATTTCTGCATTTAAATCTGTGAATCTCTGGCAGACCCGAACAGCAGGTTCAGACACAGACATTGAGAAGTAAAGAGGACGACCGTGGAACAAGTGTGTGTGTTAGCGGATTGCAATGCTCGTAAGAAAGCTAATTATGATATTAACTTTCATCGTGTCTCTAAAGATGTTACTGTCCCGGGGCTGAATATCTTCTATGTTACCTGCTACTTCTACAACACTGGCAATGTTAGGCTGCAAGCTAGTGTAAAAAGGAGTGTACAGAGCAGCGCTGTCTCCGCCCACGACTCAGAGGTGAATTGCTAATGAGCTACTGAAGCTCTGCAGAAGAAAAGCCCTTAAAAATGACACAGGTGACGTGATTTTGGCTAAAGACTTCATAATTACAATTTGAAAACCACTGAGAACACTTTAAGTAGAAATCAAAAATGATTGGAGTGGGACTTTAAAGTGCACCAGTAAGCTCCGCACTACCTTAGACCTGAAGATCACTGTTTTTCAGGCTTGCACATTGTGCTCCATATGCATGGTGTTTGTAGATCCTTATATTCTGACAGATGTTACCTCTAGTGTCAAATGCAGGGTCGTGTGATTCTTTAAAGATGAATAGAAACTACTGAAACAACCTGCAGCTATAATGGAAGCTAGTTTTGTCTGATTACGGATAAATCTACAAATTTGAGGCATTGAGGTCTTTGCACAGTCTATTTTTTTGTCTGCATTGTTTCAGGTTTAAAAAGACAATGATTTGTCAATCACATCTGCAGACAAACTCAGAAACTTTCATCTGTTTTTGTTTTGAATTAATCTTTATTTTTGCATCTGACCAGTTTGCTCCCCAGGGTGTTATAAGTTAGAATGTAAAGCTAGATGCTGATCAGGATCAATTGCTCTGAATGTGTTGCTCGTCTTTAATCTGTGGTTGCAGCAGCACTAGAAGTATTTCAGTCTGGACCTCTGACATCCTCAAATTTACCTGGAATGAATCAACAAAACACACACATCCTCTTCAGTGTGCAACGTTTCTATTTCCTGATGTTTTTTATTGGGTTACATATCCAAAAAAGTGCATCTGAAAAAACAGGGACTCAGTGTTCAAAGACTTTTGCAAAAGACCGGTGCTTTAAGTGGGCCAGCAGCACGCTCTGGTATGTAGCACCACCACCTCTAAATTTAACCCTCTGGCGTACCGGGATTACCTGCGGCCAGTATCTTTTTTTGTCTTCATGTTACTTTTTCCCAATAGCACCTAAAATACATTACCCATGGTGCACTAGGTCATGCCCACATCTTTCCCTGGTGTTGTATTACTCTATTTATGCGAGTGAGCTCCTTCAATCTTAAGTCATCAGTGTTATCCGTAGTTTACCTGACCTGAAGGACAGTCGGTTTGGAGCATGAGGATGCAGAGATGCAAAAGCTCGATATTTTGATTGAAATCAGACAAATGAACTTGGTAAGATTTGAGAATACAGAGAACAGGGAGATGAATGAGATTTATGGTAGAGGACGCAGAAAAGTCAAGCGCAGCACACACTCACATCAAACCTTTCTCTGCTGGTGTTTGCAGAATTTCGGCCAGTGAAGCAAAAACGATGTTTCTTTACTCGCTGACAAAAACAAAAACTACTTTCACAAGTGAAGTGTGAGCGAGTGAGCTCTGAAGCACATTCTTCTGTCAGCTCAAAACACAGAAGTTTTCACCTTGTAAACTGTAACACTGCACACACCTGCAGAGAAAGCTGCACGAGAGTTATGAAAAGTAATGTGCGTGCATGGCTGCTTGATTTGTGTGCTTTTCTGCATCCTCATGCATGAACATCATTTGATTTCTGATCTCGACTTGACATTGGTATTGTCTTATTTTTAATCCAGATATTGCATCCAGATTATAGATCACATTGGTTCATAAGATGCAGACAGTTTTTGGAGGTCTCCTCAATAGAAAAGGGTCTTCCTATGTGAGTCCACAACGTGCAATTTCTATCTGTGCTTGTTATCCTGCTAACTACTGGTACTAAGGAGCTCAGTTAGGGTGGTTTTGGGTGCTTGTTTTGGTTGATCTAGACTAAACCAAAGTCTTGTTAAGTCTATAATACTTTCGATGTTATAATCATGTAGCCATCATTCTTGATCAATATACTCTGGGTGGATTCTTGTCACTCACAACTGCAGTTGAAGGATTGGGAGTTAAAGTTTTGACGTGACCGACCTGGGCCCCCGGATCTTTCAGGACAATACAAAAGTGTGTGTGTGATACTGAAGTTTAAACTCGAACCCTGACCTTAAGCTTCAGTAAAATGAAATAACGAGAAACTTTTGGCTAAATTCTGAACTTATCTGACAGAAAAGCAAAGAGGAGGCATCTGTGTTTGACGCTCTTTCAATTATTGTGTCGATCGGTCTTCTGTGCCACCACCTGTGCCCAAAACCTGCCAAGGGCGACAAAGTAATGACACCTGTCTGCGATAAATGATGGACATTTCTGCTGCTCGTCGAAGCGCTGCCTCGAAATTCTGATTAGAGTTAAATGTAGGTCACATGCCTCAGGTGCTGGTCGAATTATACATGTAATGACTCCGTGCCGCTCACTTAAGCAGATTATAAACGTCAGATCTGTGTCAAATTTAAGTGTGTATGTGTGTGTGAGAGAGTGAGGAGGTACGGTGGTGCACTCAGGTGGTGTGAGGGCCAAAATAATCGTATAATGAAAGGAGCACTTCCTGTTTGCTGTGGGGCATCAGGGCGAGGAAAACTGTCTCACAAGACCGGTTTGTAGCTCTTCACTTTTCTGACCGTGTTCTAGCTTTGGAAAATAAAGGTGGGCAAGTTAACTTTTCATTTTAGCAACCTGAAGGTTATAGGATCGAATCTCTTACAGACTTTAATTTTTATTTTTTTTTACAGTCAATCCATTGAGGGGGCATCTAGAGGGCGACTTTTTATGATTCATGCGTTTAAAGGGCGTCCGGGGGCACTTTATGAGAGATGAGAGATGAGATTCGATTTATTGTCAATGTGCAGTACAAGTACAGTACAGCGAAAAGTATTTTCGCATCTCACCAGAGTGCAAAGTAAACATGTCAGTGCTAGTGATACATTATTTCATAGGTAAGGAAGTAGTGGAAATTTAATAAATAATTATGTGTATTATAGCGATAAATAATAAATAAATGCATTCAATACTGTCAGATTAATATTGCACAGAAGTGCTAGATAGACTAAGGTCCAGTGACCATATTGCACATGTCCACAGGATGAGTTATACAGTCACAAGATACAGCAGGAACGTGGGTGGGTTACTGGAGGGGGGAGAGGAGTGGATGAGGAGTTTAGGGAGATGACAGTGGAGGGGAAAAAACTGTTCGTGAGTCTGCTTGACTTGGAAGCGAGATTCCGGTAAAAACTTACAAATACGCACTGTATTGTGTATGGATAAGAAGGATGTCCAGAAACTACGAAGACGTATTGCGTTCACTTACAAACTAAAAAAAGGAAACTGTTTTTTAAGTTATTTTTTTCTTCGCTGTTTTTCAGACAAATTGTAAGCACTTTTCCTCCTCTTGTGGCAACATGGAGTGGGATACATTTTTTTTTCTTCTGTTTTTTTGTACTAATATTTTTCCTCAAAATTTGATTCTGTTTTTCGTACTATTTTTTCGCCTTTCTGTTTTCCTTACTATTTCTTTCCCTGACTAATCGAGATATTTCAAAATCCTGCGAGAATCTCATACAATCAGATACCGTTAACCACCGTGGCTGCACTAAATCTGCAGCTTCTCCAGCTCCTAGATAACTTTGACTACAGGGTCAATGAAAGTAAAACATGTTATTAGTTAAACATAGGGTATGTAAATCCTGAGGTGTCTGTGCAAAGCAGACAAACTTATGATGATTCCATCTATCTGACTTAAAGAAAGGAGTATCTCCCAGTGTCTCAAACCCAAAAGAAAATAAAACTTGATTAAAGTAAAGAAGTAGGCCATGTTTGCTTCTGATAAATCGAGCAGAGAGGGATGAAAGCGTCTGTTTTTAAATGATCGTGATCCCAGAGTATGGGAAAAACAATTAGTCTGAAAAAAAGTCAGAGAAACAGAAAACTGTAGACTGTAAGGATATATCAGAGGGCATATCTGCAGTGTTTTCCAGATGTTAGGTCTGGGTACGCCACTAAGGAGTGGTAAATGAGTTCTTGCTGCATATTAAGCCTTGTTTCTCTTTTTAAAAGGTTCTGATCCAAATCAATACCACGTCCTCTGTGTATTATCTGTTAACAAGCTTCATTGTGCTGCAGAGATAATAGACTACAGCCCCGTGTTTCCTTAAATCAATCTGATGAACTAAATTTTGGATGGTGCGACTTTAGAGGAAACTTTCTGTCGCTGCCTTTGGTGCCAGAAAACTTTTCAGAAGTACTGGGATGGATTTCAGACTCATTTTGGCATAAATGAGAATTAAGAAGTTTAATTAAGAGCAGCTCCAACAGGAAACCAAAACAGATTTAAAACATCACTAAACTCCTTTTCTTCTTCTTCTGTTTGTCGTCATTTTGTGGCGCCTGATAACACGAAACCCCCCCGATGACCTTGACCCGTACACAGTGAAGAAACGTATCATCTAACAGTCCCACCCAGGCTGACTGAGATGAAGCTGTCGGCCACATTGCTGACGGCATCACTGATAGATGGCGAGGCCGGAGCTCCCTAAAGCTTTTAATCTTGATTAACAATAGAGCAGGAAACAAGAAAAACAGCCGGGAGTGTTAAACATACAGCTTTCATCAATGACGCATTTGATGCTGATGGAGGCTGCGGGCGTCCGGCCAGAACACGCAGAGACGTACTCACACATGTATCATTAGGAGAATAGTGGCTATTTTTCCTCTCTCCGTACAAATCCAAGCCTTTCACACCTTCTTTATCTTTATTTTTCTGACACCTCCAGCTTCTATTTGAAACCGCAGAGCCGCCCGATTGATTGATAGCTCCCTCAATACCTGCTTAGCTCCTTCAAAGCCGAAGAAAAGCAGCTAATGGCCCTCCAGGCAGTGATAGAGCTTATGACCTCCCATTGAAAAGTCTGCCTTTGAAATGAATTGAACATGTATTTGATGCTACTCCACGGCAGTTTGATCTGAATGCATCATGTGCGATAAGCAAATGGCTGTAGTTGTTTGGCTTTATAAATCCAGCTCATAGTGCGGAGATTAAAGGCTTTCAGAGCGAATATGGAGGTTACCTCACACGCCTTCAGCTCTGCACTGAAAGGCTGTCTCTGACACTTTCTTTGTCTCCTTTCCTGGCAGGTATCTTGGGATCACACGGCCCCTGACTTACCCCGCCAGGCAGAACGGTCAGCTGATGGCGAAGATGATCCTGGGAGTGTGGTTGGTGTCGGCATCCATCACCCTGCCACCTTTCTGCGGCTGGGCTAAAAACGTCCACACAGCCGGTGTGTGCCTCATTAGCCAAGACTTTGGCTACACCATCTACTCCACAGCTGTAGCCTTCTACATCCCTATGCTGGTCATGCTGGTCATGTACTACAAGATCTTCAGGGCAGCGAGAAAGAGCGGCGCCAAGCACCGCTTCACCGACCTCTCGCGCCGTGAGCGCCTTGAAACAGTGGCTAATGAGGCGCTGCGGATGCAGGGCCTGAAACCGCCCGGTGTGGCGGAGGACTGTGCCGCCCTGTCGCGCCTGTTGAACCGTGAACGCAGAAACATCTCCATCTTCAAGCGGGAGCAGAAAGCTGCCACAACACTGGGGGTGATAGTGGGGGTCTTCGCCGTGTGCTGGCTGCCATTTTTCATCCTGTCCACCGCCAGACCCTTTATCTGTGGGGTGGAGTGTAGCTGTGTGCCCATATGGCTGGAGCGCACGCTGCTCTGGTTAGGCTACGCTAACTCGCTAATGAACCCCTTCATCTACGCCTTCTTCAACCGAGACCTGAGGTCCACTTATCGTGACCTTCTCCGCTGTCGTTATCGCAACATCAACCGCCGACTGTCTGCTGTGGGGGTGCACGAGGCTCTCAAGGTTTAAAGGTATTGGTATTGACTCTTAAGAAGCGGGTACAGTGGCCCTGTGGTTGTACACTTGGTGCTCAAGGGTGGATGCGTACGCAGCGGGCCTGGAGATCAGTCAGAAAGCAGAATGGGAGTCGCTGCTGGTGGCTGCGTGTGGCCCCTCCATACAAGGAAAAGACAGCGCCATCACTCTGTGCGTGTGACTCACTCTTTCTATTTTGGGAAAGAAAACCATAGAGCGTACTTGATGGGCTATTCAAGCCGACACTGCTTTTGTGCAGACGCCACAATTCCGTCCTGGCTCTGGATTTATGGGAGTATAATGTAGTGACAGAGGAAATGACATGTAAACACGATCACTCATCCTGGCGCTTTCAAAGGGAACAGAAGGAGGAGAGATTTCTGTGAAATACAAAAATGATGTTTGATGGGGAAAAACATTTGTTTTGTGGCACAATCTCATCCCAGCGTCGTCATTTTGAGCACATTAAAGATTAATTTCAAACAGAGAGTGAACATTGAGGAGTGCTGTGTGCTTATACTGAGATTAATCATCACTCATATCCTTTTTATCTCCAGACAGAGCTTTCAATTCAGCCTTTTCTCTGATTCTATCAGGACCACCCCGGGTGTTTCACCGATGTTTAAAATGCTAAGGGAGGAGGAGGAGGAGGAGGAGGAGGAGGAGGGCAGGACTGGATGTTAGAAATGAAGCATAGAGGGACATTTTCCACTCATGGTGTCTCAGTGTTTGTCGCCATGAAAAGAAACTAAAAGTAGATTGTTTACTGTCTGCATGGATCATGTTTGTCTTTCGCTGTTTGCATAAATCAGATGAGACGCTGAGAGTGAATGAAGATTTAGTCACGTTTCAGCCACTCAAACACACACACACACACACACACACACACACACACACACACACACACACACTTGAATTTCAAATGAACTCAGTGTTGTTTTTGTCAGAAACCATGATACTGTGGACTTTTATTTATTTATTGATTTGACTCCACGTTAAAGGGATATTTCGGCATTTTTGAAGAGGGGTTGCGTGACTTGCATTTTAACAGTGAGTGTGTTAACCACAATGGATGTCAGTGTCATGAGAAACTGCTGGAAGAACCAGTTAGTCAAGTCAACCCAATAATTAAGCCAATTACAAGAAACCCCAACCCAAGCACTTATCTTAGTTTAAGTGTGAAAGATTTTGCATCAGAAAGTCTTTTTATTTTCAGACTATTTGCTGACACAGTACTCCTACGGCTTGATCGAGTACGCAAGCATTATAATCAATGTGCGTAATTCCACACAATGCGTCCATTGTCCAGCTCCACTGCGGATCCGCTCCAGCAGTCGGATCAGATATGTAAGGCTTCTATTTCACCGGACGACGCAGCACAACGCACAATTCAGTGTAGCGCAGCATGGCGGCAGCGGAAGTTGGATGCAGCTACAGAGTAAAATATCCAGTTAATTTTCAAAATTAAAAAAACCAAGTCGATAAAATTTAGTCACCTCTATATTATGGGAGGGGCCAGGGTTGTGGGATGCGGGTGTTTATATACACCGCCGATCTCATTCTATACCTCAGACTGAAACATGCAAGATCTTGTTCAGTCTCGTGAGAAATATCGGTAATAATGCAAGTGTTTCTCCTCCGCTTGCGGCAGTGGATTGGATTTGGTGGGCGCTATATGCTTTTGTTTTTGATCTGCCTGCCGTTCCGAAGCGGATCTGCATACGGTGGAATCCCGACACTAGCGTTCTTCCTCCTGCAGCGCCATCAGCCAATCAGTTCGATAAAATTTAGTCACTTCTAAATTATTAATTTTTTATACTTTTGCATCACCTGGTGGATGCAGTGATTGTGCGTGCATTGTGGCAAACACAATTACTTGTGTTGTGCAATGCATACAACCCCTCCTCAAAAATACCGAACTATCCCTTTAAGCTGCTGCTCTTATTTTATACTGTTTCAAACAGCCAACCAAACCTGTCGAACTCTGCAGTTAAACTTGAAGATTTTACATTTTTCTCTCTGACAGATTTACGTTCTTCTCGTCCCTTCTGATTTTACTCCACCGTGAACTCTGGTGACCTTTACGGACTCGTGTCAGACGTCAAGATTCAAGCAGTGTGCTTTTTCTACCTCGATTTTTGAGAACACAACATTTCCTCTCTTAGCAGATGTACCACTGTCTTGCATCATTTTGTAGTTTACTGCTATTTTATATTGTGTAAGATCGACCCATCTGTGTGATTTCAATATGTGACAGCTTTGTCAATACCTCCAGAAACAAGCTGGAGAAGTGGCAAAGTGTTTCATCACTTTGTAAATAAAGAAACACTTGGTTAAAGCGTCACTGTGGCCTACTTTAATATAGCAGAAGATGTGTGTGTATGAATGAATGAAGAAGCATCATCGGATCAGATCAGGTCTTCAAACCCTGCAGATCCTGATGCACAGTGGTTGTACAAGATTCATCATCCTTGCTGGAAGGAAAATAAAGACACTCATTAAGAGGTCTGTGAAACATTCATGAAATATCAGCAACAAGGTTGTCGTGTTACTGCGAGGACACCGGAGACGTGTTTGAGGATACGGACCTCAAAAAGACGCTGATATCCCACACCTGCTCGGGGCGAAATCTTTTATTTAGTTTGTGGGTGACAGCTGTCTGCTTTCGTGGCGGAACATTTCCTGTAAAGACTCAAGGATGAGGAGTCTGGCTTCAAGTCCAAATATTTTAACCAGAAGGGGACCAGAAAGAAGTCAGGAAATAATGTGCCGTAAAACTCCATATTGGGTTTAAGAAAAGTGGAAGATAAGAACGGCAAAGTTTGACAGCTTGGTACAAAGCTCCTCGGCCCTGTGAGGCTGAGATGAAGCAGTTGAGTTAAATGTTTTTAATCTGCTAAAATGTTCCCAAGTACAATGATAAATTGGTTAATCCTACAATGAGCAAACAATCATCGACCCTTTTCATAATGCAGCAAAATCAATCCTGCAGCGCTGTAATCACACACAGTGCTGTTCCGCCCTGCCTGCTCTGCTCACCCCCAAATTCGACTGCATGTGGAATGGCAATGGAATCTCCACAAAAGTGTCCGATCTACTGGTCTGGACAGAGTGGATTTCCTCCTCTGGTAAGACTCAATCTACTGCTCTGGTTATGTGTCTGTCCTTATAGAGACAACTCGTTGTCTGGAAATTGCATGTGAATTCGCAAGCTCCTGTGAGTTCTCGTGATTCCTGCTGTACGAAATTCGCCTCACAAACGCATCCAGAAGGAGGGTGACCAGATTCTGACTTCACAAAAAGAGGACACAACTACGCGGGGGCGGAGTCACAGAGTCGCACAAAGTTAATTGTGGGAGTTTTTCAGGTCTGATCAAGTGTCTTTTTTGCACTTCTAACTCAGTAAGTCCAAGTGACACAACCTGAAACTTCGGTACAAAATCGTGGACATTTGAAGGATTTGATAAACTTCTCCGGACAGAGCAGGACAAGCCCAGAGAGCCCCCCAAAAAGAGGACATGTCCAGGTTTAAGAGGACGTATGGTCACCCTATCCAGGAGGACTCGGTGGTCGGCGAAAATCGCCATGTTCTGTAGCGGTGCCATTCCACATGCAGTGGAATATGGGGGTCACATAGATCCTTTCACCACCTGTGGTGCAACAACGTGGTCTGATTCCCTGCATCCTTTGACATTAACTGACATGTGCTCTTTGGATGAGGTTTTGTGTCTGTTTGGGACACGGTGTCAAAATATGAGTGTTGAAAAGTCCCTGAGGTAAACAGAGGGAGCATGGCCTCTGCCAACACGTTGACATTTCCTTTCAGCACATTGACTGCACGCCGGCTTAGTGGATGTTGTCAGTTTTCCCCTAAGATACTGAGTCTTTCAACAGCCGCGTCAACAGGCGTTACTTTCGGGGAATGAGCAACATCGTGCGGCTCAATCTGTCTACGTGGATACTCCCAGCGTGTGTCATCAGTGTCACAGAACAGGAGAGGAGGGTGAAATGTTAGTGTGTGATTCAGTTTACTCATCAAAAGGGGAAAAGGATGCGAGCAGATGAGTCTCTCTCATACGCTGCCCACAGGCTTGGTTGGTAGATCTGACAGTCTGTGGGTGCTGACAGGGGAGCAAACACTCAGCTTTCTGCTATTTTTAATCCGCCCCAGTAATTAAACAGAGGAGCTCTGATTAGGCATGTGAAGGGGGTTATCTAAAGAGCTGCAATTTTACTATCAGCGTGCACCTGATGTGTGCTAATACTCAACGATCTCTGTTTGATGCTTGTGCAAAGGTCGGTGAGATTAGAGCGGGATAAGGGTGTGATTTTAACACCTAAATACACGTGAAAAACCTGCGAAATCCTCAAAGATGATCCACTGATTTATCCTCCATTCCTGAAAAACTATTTTGCACGGTGTGTTCAGTCTGAATGACCCAAAATCAGAGTCTCATTTGCATTCTTGCATCTATTCCTGCAAGACATGTCCCAGTCACCTTCGCCCTCCAAATGTCGCCCTCCACTAATTTCAGGCACAGAGTGATCTAAATCAGATTTGCAACATAGCGTGGGCGTGTATTTACCCAGCAGCGATATCCTCAAATGTAATTGAAGCGTGGATTTAGCCTTGTTCCCCACTTTCCAATCAAAGAGAACCTATAAATACACCAGCAAACATGTCAATTATTTGTTAATCCGATTTATCGAGTGTGTCCTGAAATATCAGCTTCCTCCCACGGCCGTCATCAGGCCCAATCACGGTCTGAGGGAGTCTTCTATTAGTGCATGCCACTTCCTGCAGGGTCAGGCCCGGAGCAAATCAACATGCAGAGAAGTTATCTGCACAGAGTCCCAGTGACAGCCAGAAGAGTTTAGATTTCTGGAGGCTACTTCTGTAATTAGACTCCGTCATACTGCTGGGAGGTAAGTGCACGCTTTTTAAGGTTCCTTTCCATCAAAGGGACTGTACACGAGGACGCTCTCCCCTCTGCACTTCAAAGTGAACACAGCAGATCTCTGCCTGCTTACCTTTTATTGATTCGACTGCTACAAATGTTGTGACTTACTCAGGCTGTGGAGTATCTGGGTGTTGACTCATCGCCTTATACTTTCAGAATATGCTGGAAACACAGACTGCGAGGATGCAGAGACCTCCTACGCGATGTGTAGGGGATGACGAGTCTGTCCAGTTTCTGCTCTCTCTGTATGATACACGTCTGTCAGCGTGTGAGGATGGAGTCGTCAAAGCCTCCCATATGTTCTCATACTACTCTCAGAAAAATACTGACATGTACAGGTGTTAAACGTTGCAGCCACATGTCTGTGCGTTCGTTCATTTCAAAACGAAGACCGACTCTTGCCTCTGATGAACTCTTAGAGCGTCCCATCAACCCCTAACCCCATCAGACTCAGATTAAAACAACAGTTTATGCCGGCTGAAGAGTCCTCTGTCTGACAGGTTGACTTTAGATCAGCTTCCGTATGTAAAGTTGGTGGAACAGCCCTTTAGACCTTGTGCGCCGTTGACATCCGATGTCAGCTGTTGTCAGCTACTTTGAAATCTGCATAATGACCTTCGTTTAGTGAAGAAAACCTGTGTTCCTCACAGCCTCGGCGTGCCGCTCATGTAATGACAGTAAACGCTCTGACCTGCAAAAACAAGTTTCTGTGGTGATGTAATTCTTTGTCTGCTGCGCTCAGGTTTGAATCACATTAGCATTTATCATGCTGAGGGACATTTAATAGCAGCTCTTTATGCAACCAACAAAGCATTAAAAGCACCATGTGATGAATTATTATTATGTGATTGCTTCAAACTTTTGTAACTTCAAGTTTAAAATCTTCTTTCAAACTAAAGTTCAAACTCAGACTTACCATGATTGATTATATAATAACTCTCACCTTAAAGCTCCAGTTGACATCTTTTCTCAACAATTGGGCAATGAACTTCAACGAAATACTAGAAATACTAGAAATACTAGAAATACCACATTTTTGATTTGATCGATGCCTGGTGCAGCTTTACTGTCATTTGTTGCAACATAATTTGTTAGCTTAACTTTCTATGGAGCCCCTGTGGTGGTATGTAATCAAAAGGAAAACCAAAAGCTACAACGTCAGAGGAAAAAGGCACGAGGAAATGTACTCTAAGCTGGATGATGTACACGTATCGTAGAGCTGGTGTTATAAATCAAGTTTTATTTTAGCTAACTGTAATTTCAGTAGCAGGGATTTTGCAATTTACCGATATCTGTGTCAACCCTCTTTCAGAAAATTGAAATATTGACATAACTGATTAGTAGTTGTTCAAAATGATGATTGCCAAACGTTTTTAAGGGTGAGACCATTGACTGTATAAAGAATGGACGCCGTCTGCCTCCTCGCTGGGTGAAGCCACTGCGAGAACAGCACCCTCTGGTGATAGGTTGCATTATAGGTCGTAAATCCCTTCTCCAGCGATCCATATGGAGCTGTGGACAAACTTTAGAAATATAAATGTTTCTCCCCCTGGTTGCGATGTTGACATGTAGTTACTGTAAGACTGGTTTGTGCTCAAGTCCTCTTTTTCTGTTCAGCTCCATTTTTAAAAGTTTTCAGGGGGTTCATGTTTTCTTTCTTGATACAGCCTATGGGCGTACGAAGATTGTGTAGCTCACCCGGGGGATACACTGATCACAGCAACTCTCAGCGACTCTCCTGCCGAATGCGTACAATGCCACTGTAAAAATACTGGAAATACTGAGAGCAATTTGGCTTCAAATTCGTATAAAGACGGAAGGCGGGACAAAGTGGTATATGCAGTCTATGGGTGAGAAGAAGAAGAAGTAGCAGCAGGTGCAAGTGAGCTAGCTGTAGCAGCCCTAGTCTAAGAGAAGATAGGGCACTGACGTTCAAGACGTGGATCAAAGAAATGACAACACTTTCTAACTGTTAATTTTACTGTTTTCATCCAGCTCAGTAACTTAAAATCTACCAGGAGTAGTGTACTTCAAAATAAAAGCATAAGTAGCTAAGCAAGAAGTAAAGCAAGTGTAAGAAAAACATCAAAATAAAAGCCTGACAAATCATCATGTGACACAAAGTCCAACTTGTCTGGACTTTCCTTTTGGTCGCGTTGTTACTGCGGTATTTTATGGCCTCAGTAACTGCGAGGTTGTTAGCTTTGCTCAGTATTGATATGAGGAGAGTGTTTCTTGACCACTTTTGTCATCAGAGGTGGTTGCGTCTCAGCTGTACAGTGGGTTTCCTCTCAGCCAGGGGGTTAGGGGTTAGAGCCAAGATATAGAAATACATAGAGAGCTCAGCTGCAGCAGAGATGAAGGTCAAATCAGCTGATATGAAACGTAGCTGTAAATGAATAAACAGCACATCAATGTGGATGAAACTGTGTCTTAATAATCAACTTTGCAATCCACTGCAAATCCTCCACTGCCAAAATTACAAGAGTGTGTGTGTGTTTGTGTGTGTGTGTGTGTGTGTGTGCGTGTGTAGGCAGCCTGAGTGAAGGGGTGCAGCGAAAGTGTAGGTGCGACTTAATCACACAGCTTGCCGATGTCACTTTGTCACTTTGTTAAGGCTGTGTCGGTGCAGCGAGGTGCTAAGTGAGGACTGACAGCAGTTTCAGTACGAGTGTGAACTCAGGTACACTCAGGTGTTCCTGTGCTGTCTGATACAGTCACCGCAGCAGTCAATCTGCCGCTGAGCTCTCGTCACCGCACATCGTCGCTGATCTTTGAGCGTGTGGAGTCGTTGCCCCGACACTCTGAATCTGAGCGCTCTTTGCTGTCAGCATCCTCAGTGCACGGCCCCATGGCCGCTCAGGTGTGCTGTCAGGGATGAAGAGCAGCAGAAAGACAGAAAGAAGGACTGACCCTGAGGCACAATAGAGAGCTCAGTCCATATGCAAGTTCCTAATCTGAGGAGTGTGAAACAGCCTCTGCACTGCCTTTACTGCTCCTGTGCACAGATGATGCACTGTAACAATATCAGGGATATGTGTTATTGAAAGCAAATCTCTGGCATAAATGTAGAAATAAATGAGCATAAATGAGCACCTCCTTCCCTCCTCTTAAAGGTGGGGTGAGCAGGAATCTGTTAAAGAAGCATCTTTTTGCTTTAGTCAATCAGTCAATAGCTATTAGTTATTGATAACATTTGGTCATATAACAATATCGCTGTGTTCTCTTATGCCTGTGAAGTCAACATTTTAAAATCTCAGAGCTCTCCGCTCTTTCTGACTGTAAAAAAAAGCCATTCTCCGCCTCCTCCAACCTGATTGGTTGTAAGGCAGACGCTGCTCCTTCGTGTTGTGAGGCACGCTCCACATCATTGAATAACGTTCACAAGACCAAACAAAGTTAGCGTGCAACAATATCGGACCATATAAACCAACCAGAAAATTTGGAAAATTATCTGAATCCTCCTTTGGCCACGACTGCCGACACAAGCAAGAAAACAAAGTAAATACCGGAGACTCTGGAGGAATAACGGGCGCTTTAAACGGAGGTAGACCGGACAAGAGCGAAGAAGCCGGGTCAATATCAATTCAGCATTTGGGGGACACTTCAAGATCTTAGTGAGTGTAAACCCAACAGAGTGACTGTGAACTGACTTACGTGCTGATCCACCCTGTAGGTGAAAACTTTGACCTCATTATGGCTCTAATTAAGGGGTTCAAACTCATTTAAATTGGTCTGTACAAGATTTAATCAAAACTCTCCGCAGTTAAAGGTCCACCTCTGTTGGCACCAGAGGAAAAGTCAACGTCTCAAGGTCTCCAGTTTTCATTTCTACTCCTATTCAGCTTTGGCATTAACTCCACTGAAAGGTGACACTTATCTGTGAGGATGCATTGTTCACTACTTTAATGTTAAAAAATTATCTTTGAAGTATTTCTTCAAAACTTCCTTCGCTCGTTAGGTCGTCTAAAGCAACATTTATTCTTTCTTATTGATTTCTTTGACACTGCGAGGTCCTTCTCCATGCTCAGCTCCCAGGATGACACACAGACTCTGTGATATTCATATAACATTGATGACTTTCGTGTGGGCAGCCGAGCTGTGCAGAGGATGAACGCGGCTCCTGCGGCCCGTAAGACCTCCAGGACGCACGCTTCAAAGGACAGCGCTGGTCATGCGTCCATCTTGATATTTCTGGACTCAATGAAACAGGTCAACTGGTCTGTGTTATTGATTTAAAAACACGGAGGAGTAGATCCAATCAGAGAAATGAACAGGAGTGATGGTTTTCGATGAGACTCTGCTCTTTGATAGAATATAAAAAGCCCATTTAACAACGTCTGCCTGCTCTTTTTTTTAATGACTCAGATACACACTAAAAATAACTGTTCACTGCTTCATTTAGGTGGATCACACAATCCATGAGGTGACAGCAGTTTTTACACAAAGGGCCCAGTCCCTCTCAAAATCAATAAAGCTGCAGCCTATTATCAGCTCAGGCAGAGACAGCGGTTATTTTTCACTCTGAAGTCTTTTCTCTGCAGAAATACAGTCAAACAGGCCGAGACGAAACCGGGAACTGCTGCAGCGAGAGGAGAAGATAATTCAGTTTTCTGCGACTCGTTCAGAAAAACGCATGTTCATGTAGACAATGCATTGAAGCATAATTTAATTTTATTTAATGCTCAGAATATTTTGAGAAAAAACACGTTCTTCACGATAAACTGCTTTATATGTAATATTAATGAACTTCCCTAATTGTGAGCAAACACAGTCAGCTAGGTAGTAATATTCATTTCATCTATGTCTACAAATCATTATCAGATGTTTTTAAGTGTTTATTGTTTTCATGGTTAAATATCAACAAAATCATTTTTCTTGTCCAGTTTTGACATTTAGGACATCTGCAGCTGAATTCTTCCTTTCAATAAAACATCAACTCCCATTTCAGATATCAAAACTACGAAGGAGGATTAGGGCCACTCGAAGGAAAAAAAAGGTCCAATATATATATTTTTATCATTATTCTGAGATTAAAATCCAAGACAGAGTATTAGGGCCACATTTAGAAAAAGACTTCAAGATTAAAGTCATTTATTTATGAGAACAAAGTCATTGATAACGAGACAAAAGTTGTAATAAAGTAATCATTTATAAGGGTAAAGTCAGATCAAGTCCTTATATTCTAACCTGCTGTTTAAGATGACAGTAGTTGAAATGAGAACCATGGAGCATTTCATGAAAATGTACTTCAATATAGGGTTATAAAAAAAAATGAGATACCTTATCTTTTGGCACATCAGCACCACATTATCATAAGAAACACAATGATTTTATTACAACTTTATTCTCATAAGTAATAACTTTACTACGACTTTATTTCCGTTAGTAACGACTTTAATCCCAAAGTCTTAATTTTTGTTTTCTTAATTTGGCCCTGATACTCTGTCGTAAAGATCTGAATTCTGAGAAAAAAAGATAGAGATTAAAGTCAGAATTCTGTCTTTAATCTCAGAATAAATTTAATAAAATCTAATTTATTGGACCTTTTTTCCCTTGCGGTTTTTGGCTCTTGTACACTGGCTTCACTTTCTGCTTGATTCTTCCACATATTTTTATCTTAACTCAAAGTCTGATCCTCTCTTGCTAACCTTATATTCTCACTTACAAACAGCTTGCATGTGTACGGTGGGTTTTAGCTGAACAGGTGTTTCTTTTACTCATATAAATGGTGCAAAAAGGAAAAAAAAACACTCTTTACTGATGAATCATGTCGTCCATCTGGCCTGATGACTTGCAGTTTTTTTTCTCACTCACTCTGTTATCTTTAACACGTGGTTTAAAGTGCAGGGGAGGATCTGTCCACATCAGTTACCTGTGATATCATCAGAGGTGAGTGCTACCTGGCACCTCTGATTTGACTCATACTTATTTAGCGTAGCAGGATATAAGAAGAGCCGAACAAGCCGTGCTCTGTGTGATCAGCTGTCAGGATTCATTTCAGTTCGCATGGAGAAGGTGAGACCTGTTAAACAGACTCAGAGCTTCATTTGATCTCCCTGCTTGTATTACTCTGCAAAATGCTGCTGGAATAACTCGGCTGACTTCTGCATAATGCATATTTGATGGAGATTGAGGGCTCTAAAATGAGCGGTGTGGGAGGAATAAAAGAGATATCATCTTTGCCACTGTCCGTCAGTCCCATGAGGTCACTGATTTATTTATTCCTCCTCCGACAAAACATCTGTTACTGTGATTAGATTCTGATGAGACTAACCCTGGAATAATGTCGATAATATTCATGCACAAGAACACGATTTGTTCATAAAATGGTTGGACACATAACAACACTGACTCTTTATACCAAACATGTATACTAACTTAAAGGTGGGGTAGGCAGGAATCCGTTAAAGAAGCATCTTTTTTGTGGTGTGTTTACAAAAAAGCTTTTAATATCAGTCAATAGCTCTAAATTATTGATGACACTTGGTCATATAACGATATTGCTGTGTTTTGTTATGTCTGTGTAGTCAACATTTTAACATTTTTGAGCGACCCTGTAAACAAAGACGCTGCTCCCCCGTGTCGTTCAGGAGCCCAAACAAAGTTAGCGTGCTACAACGGCTAACAACTGCTAACGACAGCTAACTTGTTTACTGGAACGCCGTCAACTCGGGTGTACTGCATTCCCAGCTCCGACATCTGACCTCCAAGATTACTGGAACGCAGCATTATTCCCATGCTTTGACTCACTGAGCGCCAGTCTGTTCTGTTGCCATGACAACAAGTCTTTAGGTTTACACTTCTTAAACACACTGTTTCATTAAACTTTGTTATAATCTCTCCAGGTGAAAAATTTACTGTTAACACTTTGTTAAACACTCTTAAATAAGAGAACTTTTCATGGTTGTTTAAACTACGAAAACATTTAAAAAGCTGCTCAGACTGAAAAAATCCAAATTTTTGTTCAATGGATGCTGATTTACTCTTGACGCTAAAATTACAGTTTCAGCTCAGCGGCCTTGACAGCCTCGACAGGGCTCGGAGATAAAACTAGAACGTTTTACTAATTGAGAAAAAAAGCGGTTTAAAGTGGAATCAGATCATCTATAATTACTCACAGCTCGTTAGGAAGAAACTCAAGGAGCGCCATCGCAATTTTGTTGCTTTAAATCAGTTTGACGACTCTTTGTATTTGGTATTTTGTGTCTGTGTAACTTGCAAGGGTTTATCGTGGTTTCTGGTTTTTCCATTGATCCCCCATGGGTGCATAAACTTAACTCACCCAGCAAAAAGAGGTTGAAAAGACGCTGAAAAGACGTCTTCAACTAACGTCTGAATAATGTCTAGATTCCAACCGTCTGAATAAACTCCAGATTTCAACATCTTTATTTTGGGCTAAACTACGACCATGATGGGCCGACGTGATTTAGCCTGAAAAAAGATGTCCAAATGATGTCGGGTGTTTGTTGGGTACTTGTCAAAGGTGGAACGTGAAAAGGCCTTGGGCCAAAAACAAAAACAGAATCTAGAAACGAAGGTCGGGGCATCGGCAGGAAAGATGCGTAGAAATGTTGACAGTCTGACTCACATATAAGACAAGATGTGTGTTTGTCTCTGTGCGTTCATGGTATTGCTCTTTGCTTTCGGCTCTTCACAGAAATACAGAAACAGAGATCCTTATCTTTGATGGAGTGACACAACACAGCTCAAATGTTTGGACATTTCATCATGAAGAGACAGACAGACGTTCCGTCAGGCAGATGTATTTCATCTCATGATCTAAGAGCGGACCTCCACCGTAAAGAAACAACTCATGATCAGTAACTGAAGGCTACGGATATTTTTATGCATATTTAGGCTTCAGATGCTCATTTTGTTGAATGGGGGCCGCACATGCAGCCAATTGACTTCAGATGAGTTTCAAGTGAGCTAAATTCAAAGTACTTGAGCAAAAACAAAACAGCAGCAGGAAGAGAGAGTTTTTTCTGTAGTGCCATTACGGACGAGAACCAAAACTGATTTGACATCCACTTCATTTAACAACAGGGGATGTAAACTGAGCCTCTTTACAGCCCACACAGAGAAACCAGCTCACGAAACTGTCGAGAGCGACTTCAACCTGCCACAGTTTCATAATAAGAGCTCTGTGTTTTTTTTCTCCTTAGAAAAAGAAACTCGAATTTTTACACTTTTACAGGCTGTTATTTAAAGCTGCTCATTGACATCAATTTGATAAACTTTTGTTAAAGATCAACAACATGTATGAGTGGACCTGAACAAATACAGAGACAATGGTTTTCTGCACAGACTGCTAGTTAACTAGCTGTAGCAACAGAAAATCAAGATTTATCATAAACTCAAAAAACAGCGCCAGAGCGCACGCCTCTTTGGATAACCAATCAATTAAACATTGAGACTTTTTAACTGTTGGTTTTTTAGCTGTTTTTATTCAGTTCTGCAACACAATTGGCCTGGGGTAGCACTTCAGAATAAGAGCACAGTTTTCAGAAAAATTTCAAAATAAAAGCATGACAGAAAACTGTTAATGACACAGTTTTTTTTGCAAAGACCGAACTGATTTAAAAAAAAAAACAAACAATGAATTTGATCATAACTACAACTGTAAGGTAGCTGGGTTATTTGAACGAAAGAAGAAGAAGAAGAAGAAGAAGAAGAAGAAGAAAAGGTAAAAAAGAAGAAGTAGAAGAAGAGGAAAAGAGTAAAAGTAGATAAAGGAGTAGAAGTTGAAGAAGAAGATGAAGAGGGAGAAGAAAAAGAAGTAGAAGAAGAATAAGCAAAAAGTAGAAGAAGACGAAGTGAAAAAAGAAGTAGAAGTAGTAGATAAGGAAGTAAAGGAAGAAAAATTAAAAAGTAGAAAAAGTAAAAAAGAAGTAGAAGTAGTGAATGTAGAAGTAGAAGAAGATGAAGAACAAAAAAAAGTAGAAGAAGTTAAATGGAAGAAGTAGAAATAGTAGATGAAGAAGTAGTAGTAGTAGAAGAAGTAGAAGAAGAGAAAGGAGAATAAAAAAAGAAGAGGAAGAAGAAGTAAAACAAGAAGTAGAAGAAGAGGTAAAAGAAGGAGTTGAAGAAGAAGTACAAGAAGAGGAAGAAGTAGTAGTAGCAGTAGAAGAATAAGCAGAAGAAGAAGTAGTGGTGGAGGAAGAAGTAGGAGAAGAAGTAGAAAAAAAGGAGAGGAAGAAGAAGTAAAAGAGGAGAAGAGGAAGAAGAAGTAGAAAAAAAGAAGAGGAAGAAGAAGTAAAAGAAGAAGTAGAAGAAGAGGAAGAAGAAGTAGAAAAAAAGAAGAGGAAGAAGAAGTAAAAGAAGAAGTAGAAGAGGAGGAAGAAGTAGTAGTAGTAGTAGAAGAGAACTTTCATTAGATGAATTTGCCAAAAGAAATCGGCCGTAAAGTCCTGGACTTGGTTCCACATTTAACATATTTTTACAGAAAGTCATGATGAGAACAAAGCCCTCTCTTTTCTAAAATTTAAGTAGAACAATATTTTCATCACACCTGGTGGCTCCAGCTTCAAGGTTTTTGAGATAAGTCAGAGGTGAGGAGCCCTCCTTCATTCTGCTCATAGAAACCCTTTTGTTTGAAGGCCAGCGAGCACAGCAGAGAAGAGAGACTGGAATTTATCACCAGGAGAAAAACTTGCTTATCACTCTGAAGAAAGGTGCTACAAACCTTGATCTCTCACTACCAACTGTCTGCTCCTGCTGCTCAGACATGAATAAGAGTGTGGAAATTTCTGGAGACGATGAATCACACAATCGCACAAAGAAACAACACCTCTCTGATTGACACCCTCGGTTTTCACACTCTGCCGTGGTGAGATTAGAAAGAACCACAAAATCCTCCCTGTTGGGTTTCTGGTGGTCATTTCTCTCCCTCGCAGCGATGGCGAGATTACACGAAGAAGAACCTTCAGGTGGATGCTGAAGCCTTTGGCAGGAAAAGAAACGCCACCGACACACAAAGGAAGCGTACAGGGTGAGAATGAATGGAAGCATATGGCTCGAGCTGCTGGAAGTAAATGAAGAGACACAGAGCCATGAAAGAAGATTTTTGGCACTAATTACTGAATGTTTTCATGTGATAAATAAAGATCGAGTGGAATAAAGGCAAACTAAAGAAAAAGGTTTGAATGAGCTCAATATTTGCTTCTTCCTCACACCCTGAGAGGAATCAAAAAATCGGAGTTGGAGTTACAGATGGTGAATTAACTTAATAATCTGATGTATCACTGACAGCCTCTTCAGAGTAACAATGGGCTGTTTTAAAAGGCTTCTAACACTTTTAACAAAACCCTTATTATCACATTATCTGGTGATCCTGTGATTGTGCCGCGATAACTCCAGTCACAGACCTCGTTTAATCGTCTTAATCCACTCAGACATCATCGTTTTCACACGTATTTTTAAAAAATTCAAGGTGCTGTCGAGACGAGGTATTTGAGTTTAAGACTCAACAACAGCAGCTGACTTAAGCGACACCAGTCACTCCCAAACACCTGCTCCTTTTAAGATAATGCAGGAGCCTTTTTTTTCACTTTATACTGCGGTAAATTCATATTAATGTGTTTAAGCTTTATCAGAAGATTACGGATTTAAAGTCTGAACTGAAGTTTTTGCTTATCTGGAAAAAAACTTTATAAAACTGGGATAATCTTCAGATAGCAGAGACTTAGAGTAAAAACGCTCTTATGCAGATAAACCCTGGAGCTCATACTTTTAATGAGTCCAAACTTTGGGAAACTTATTATTGAGCATTTCACATTTTATACCAAAGAAATCTTGAATAAATCAGATTTATTTACATTCAAAATAGCAAAATCAGTGCAGCTGTGCAGTATGTATATGCTACCCTGAGTTTCCATGATTGTGTGCTTCGAATCAACAAGTAAACCTTATCTACTGTGGACGATGTATGTGTAGTAGTAGTCATTTATTCAGTCATGACAACTCCAAATATTGTACATAATATTGACATTTCACACCAAATCACTAAATCAAGAATCATGTGTTGAATATTGACTGAAAAGGCAGAAGCAGACTGCTTATTAAAGCCTATCCTGTGTTGTCAACTTTTTTATCTACCAACCTCCAGAAAAGCAGAAAAGTAACCACAACAACAGATAATTAATCGCACTTATAAGCTTCAAAAATAGCTTTACTATAGTGTACTATATTGCATGTGCACATTTTGGCTCCACCAGCACAAAATGTCAGTACCAATCTGTATCCATGTTTAGTTATTTGGTTTCACACCTCGGAATACTGTCTACAGTGACAGACATTCATTGCTTTATTTATAATTTGTCTCCTTGTGCTTTTAATTTCTCAACAGCTGCAAACATTTAATAAAAAAAGCCATATTTTTTTAACCAGTTCGTCAAGAAATAAAAACAGCCAACCTAAAATCTATGCATGCAGTTCGCAAATCCATACACACTGAGTGCACATCCGTACTTAGTTTATAATGCATACAGATTTATAATCTGCAGGTGTGGATTTGTAAATCTGTACCCACAGCTTTACAAACAGTTTCATGTCTTGAATACCCGAGGAATGGATCGTTTCCATCTTCTACCAATAAATCACATTTATCTGCACTTGAGTGTTGCTGTATAACGTGTTTTGCATTGGAGATTTACATGTTTTTCACCGTGTAATGACATTTATACCTCATCCTTGGATTTTATACCATGAAGGAGGATTTTCAGTTCGTGTGCATGGATTTGCACATGCGGGTGCATGCTTTTTAAAATGCATGTGATTGAAGGTAGGTTTATGATGAAGCTGAATCAAGACAGGTAATTTTAAATGGATAAAGCCCTCAGGTAATGCAATCTACATTAAAGTTGTCTATATTTTTTAATCTAAGTTCCTCAAAGTTGATTCTATGCAAAGCAGAAATTTGATTTATAATTTCATAACAGTTTGGACATCTAATTCCTTACATCTGAGATTGTTTTGGATGCTGCAGAACATTTTAGACAGACGTAATCTCTCCTTAAACTGCAGATGGGTGGAAATAAACGCATGCATGTTAGTTGGTGAAACTGACACTGCAGCAG